GATGCAGGGTTCTTAGACCAAGCTGTTTCTTGAGATTTGAGTCTAGCCCATTTTTTGAGACTCCAGTTCCTCTACCGTCATCTCCGCCATCCCGAACTTCTCCTCCGCCTCCCTCAACAGGAGGTAAAGTATTTAGTCTTCTTGTTAAAATTACTCCGTATCTTTCTCTTTCATTTAATACTTAGTATAGTTTGACATAATTAAATCAACCTGACACCTAAACTTTTCCATTCCCTATATGTAGATGACCTTTTTATGTATTCATTTTCTCGTTTCAAGTTGCATACTACCCATCAACAAGAAATGCACAAAATTTTCTTTGCTCTGAGGAAAAAAAGAAACTTCCGATCCCTCAATAATTCTATTGTTTGGTTTTCGGGCCATGATCTGTTTTCTTGTTTTCTATTCCTAATTCGCTTTTCAAAGATAGTGATAAGGTAGAAGAGACTTTATGCCCACCGTTCACCTGTCCACTCATTTATTCAAGGGCCCTACATCTCTCTGCCAAAAACAGTGAATTCTCAATTTATTATATGCACCGAACGTCCTACCTTGCTTGCTTCACCTTTTCTCCCCTAAGAAACATTATAGCAAAAGAAAGGAAAATATAAGTAGTAGTATTTTCTTAATAAAGCCAGTACAAACCAGCTAATTAATCATATATACAATTATATAGTAGAAAAGCATAATACCAAGGTAAAACATACTATTTTATTTTAAAAAATATTTTCAACCACACCTTAGCCAATCATTTAATGAATCCGTTCCTTTGCTGAATAAAAATCCTTTATTATCAATGTCTTATTTAGTGGTTTTTTTTTTTTTTTATAATTCTACTTCACATGTTCAATAATTTCTTTTTTTTAATGTTACTTCACTCTTGCCTTATCACTTCACTTTTTTATAAGATGAATTCAAAGTTACATGATTCTAGCGTGGGTTTTCAATCGGCCCATTACATCCAAAGTAGATGTATTCATGTTTAAAATATACAAAATTGAAAAAGTGATACGATGGGTTAAGATTTTATCGTCCTTATTTCCCTTCTTAATACTAATAGAAAGCAATATAATTCGATAGAATGCTAGTATTCAAGTAAAAATCTTAGCTAACAATGACTACCCATGTACAAAACATAGAGTAAATAGAATAAACAGAGCAAAGCGCTTAAAAGGAAAAAAATTATTCCTGGAGAAACATCGATGGCTAGTGGTTTAATATGTGACAACCAGATTTGAAGGATTTTTTGTTTTAATTTCCTTTTCTGTCAGGTTTTTTTTTTCTTTTTTTGTTTCCTTGTGGGGATTATCTTTAAAGGTTATCTATACAATGTGCAAGTATGTACAATTCTAATTCTGGCTAGACTCATACTTTTGAATTTTGCAGGAAAGGGCAATAACACAACCCGGACTATCATCATTGTTGTTGCTTCAGTTGTTGGAGTTGTGATACTAATAACCATCGCCATCTGCATCTTTCTGAGAGCCAGAAGGAACTGGGAAAAAGTTGAAAGTAAGTAATATTACTCCCCTGATAGCTAATGCAACATGATATTTGACTTGATTAAAAACATAATGGTTAAAAGACTGTCACCAACTGGTGAAGATATGTGTAATGAAATAAGCGAAACGTACCATCAATTATCAGTGTACAAGTTTAAATATGCCAGCCGAATCTACCTGTAATGCAAACAAATGCCATGCTTTTAACTGCCATGTGTAAACATTTTATATTTTTCAGCTGCTGATGAGATTATTCGGGTTGAGTCCTTGCAATTTGACTTTGCCACTATCCGGGTTGCGACTGATAACTTTTCGGACGCAAATAAGCTTGGCCAAGGTGGATTTGGAGCTGTTTACAAGGTAAAGAGCCCTGCAATTGGAAAAGAGTACTATAAATTTATCTCAAACATTGAAATTTTAACCTTAATTTTGAAATCAATCTAGAGTCACTTATGATACGTTCTACTGTTTCAGGGTCTGCTTTCAGGTGGACAAGAGGTAGCTGTGAAAAGATTATCTACGGATTCTGGACAAGGAGAGGTAGAATTTAAGAATGAGGTCCTGTTGGTGGCCAAGCTTCAACACCGCAATTTAGTTAGGTTCCTTGGTTTCTGCTTGGAAGGGCGTGAAAGACTTCTCATCTATGAGTTTGTGCCAAACACAAGCCTTGATTATTTCATTTTTGGTATGGTTTCAGTTTCACTTCTAAATTGATAAATTTCTTATGTTCTTTTAGCTGCATAGCCACCAACAGGAACATATTTGTAAACTAATAATAACCAGGCAAAAGCCTATAATTTATACTAGTGATTTGTTCTTATTCCATTATAGTTAATCTGAAACTTGTGTGAACATATATACTATAGATCCAGTCAAGCGTGCACAATTAAATTGGGAAAGGCGCTACAAAATCATAGGAGGCATTGCTCGTGGGCTCCTTTATCTCCATGAAGATTCTCGATTGAGGATAATCCACCGTGATCTTAAAGCAAGCAATGTTTTGTTAGATGCTGAGATGAACCCTAAAATTGCAGATTTTGGAATGGCAAGGTTGTTTGTACGTGATGAAACACAAGGCAATACCAGCAGAATCGTAGGGACCTAGTAAGTATTAAAAACATCTATTCAACTTCGAATTGTTTGTTTAATGCATAAATTCCGATAATATGTCTCAAAAACAGCATGAAATGCCGAATAAAGATTTAGTTCCATTCTATCATTAAGAAAATCATAGATCATAAGAATGACACAAGATATGTGTATATGCAGTGGATATATGGCACCAGAATATGCTATGCACGGGCAATTCTCTGTTAAGTCAGATGTATTCAGTTTTGGTGTGATAATTTTAGAAATTATAAGTGGTCAGAAAAATAATTGCTTTCGTAACGGGGACAGTGTGGAGGACCTACTGAGCTGTGTGAGTATGCCTTTCTAAATTCATATTTGATTCTGTTTTGCTAATTAAGAAGTATCATTAAACATAACATAATCATGAAGGTTCCAAAGATTCCTATTTCACTTTTCCATACGCATGTTGATAATTTCTTGCAGGCCTGGAAAAATTGGAAGGAAGGGACAGCATTGAATATCATTGATCCAACTTTGAGGGATGGTTCGAGAAATGAAATGCTGAGATGCATCCACATTGGATTATTATGTGTTCAAGAAAACGTAGCTAACAGGCCAACCATGGCTACAGTTGTTCTGATGCTTAATAGCTTCTCAATCTCCCTCCCACTACCCTCCCAACCAGCATTTTTTATGCACAGCAGCATTGATTCTGACATGTCATCTTCGCGGGGTTATAGTTCTCGGATGTCAGAATCCAAGCAATCCAAAAGTGAATCAATCCCTCTATCCGTGAACGAGGTTTCAATTTCTGAACTATATCCTCGATAGTTGCGTCAGAATTGTCTTAAATTCTACAGCTTTTCCAGCTGACGATGTCACTTGCTGAACCAACTTGGACCTGTTTCAAGTGGTAGGACTAGGTGAGAGTTTAAATAGAGATTTTAAGTATATATAAAGGTTTCAGAATTGTCTTAAATTTTACAGCTTTTCTGTTGAATATGCCACTCAGTTCACTTTAATTGATAACCCAATATTTTCATTCCAATTAGAATCCGCCATCTCTTTTTGATCCACATATAATCTAATTAACTAGGCTGATCTAATCTAGAATAATGGTGAAATTCGTGCCTAAGGATACCATCCGGTTTTGCCTATGTCAATTCCCTCAAATATAATTATTGTACTGCGATAAGTCAATAAAAATATGGAGTAATGGAAAAGAAACCGTGATCCGGGCAGAAGGAAAGCCAAGTTGGTCGGCCATTGCGGCTTGTCATCAAACGCTTCCATCTCCATCAACCCTTATGGTACAAGACGACCTAAAACCTTTAGTCCCAAATAGCATCTATCACATTTACAGATATTAACACAGAAGCATCAACCCATATCAGACAGTACAGTACAGACATCAAGCAACCAATTTCCAAGTTCCAAAAGGTTTTCACGTTATAAAATGTTTCCGCTGACGCACATGGAGCATGAACATCGACAACCTTGCAGTCAAAGTCGTGAATCACCCATATACCTATAATGATCAGCATACATTCCAGCTCACTCATTGCAAAGATTGTCATGTTCCACATTGCTAGCAAACCACAAGACTTACCACTCTGATACCATGAAAGCGGTTGGGGAATATTCGCACAGTGAGAACGGATGAAATGAATGAGCAGTATACTTTCATTCATCTGTGATATGTGCAGTACGGGGGTTTATATACACGGGTTTAAAGGCTGAAAAATCTACCTGATTGTAAACCATCTTTAAGGGGACAGAACGCCCAACTAAAGTTACCGTCCCGCCAATCTCTCCATCCATTTCTCATCAATTCTCTCCAACTTAATTTCCTGCATCAGTACCATATCCGCTCCTGTATTACTCTCATCAAAGTCCTCATTTTCACACTGCTGCCTATCCCTCTGATATCAATTCTCTCCAACAATTAAAGTTTAGCTTATTTTGGTGCCAAGATATATAGCTTGAGAAAAGAGAGATTAAATACACAACTTTCTTTTCAAAGATAAATCTGATTAATACATTACCTTAATTACCCTAAGCCTTGTTTCAGCACAAGTGGTGAATTTAAAGAGCCAGAATTCAGTAAATTATTAGTTCTCTCCATAGAAGCGCGTATCTGTATACAGCTTCCTAGATAAAAATTTTCGGAGGGGAGAGAGACGCCATGGGAATGGGATTTTCAAGACTGCTTCCTTTTTTTAATTTGGTTCTCCTATTTCTTGCTACTCTCACCCTTGGGGCCTATCCATACTTCCAGTCTCGTTGCGTAGACTCAGCTGGTAACTACACCGCAAACAGCACTTACGAGGCCAACCTCGACAGCATCTTCTCTCAAGTCACCTCTCTAACAGAATTCAATTATGGGTTCTATAATCTGTCTGCTGGTGAAAACCCCAACAAAGTCAATGCGATTGCACTTTGCAGGGGGGATAGAACCCAAGATGTTTGTAACAGTTGCCTTAATGACACAGTATCTGAGCTCAGGCAGCGTTGTCCCTTAGCGAAGGAGGTGGTTGGGTGGTCTGAATTTTGTATGCTGCGCTACGCCAACCGAGACATCCTTGGAGAAATGGAAATCTCTCCTGGCTCTTGTCTACTCTACGCAGTGAACGTAAAGAATCCTAATCAGTTCAATCAGGCATTGAGTGATCTGTTGAATAATTTGAGCAGTCGAGCCGCAGCTGCAGGTCCTCTTCGCAAGTATGCGGCAGATATCTCAAAGGTGGGCCCTTTTCAAACAATATATGCTTTGGTACAGTGCACTCCTGATTTGTCCGAGGAAGAATGTGGCCAGTGTCTGAATGTGGCTAAGGATGAGATTGGAAGTTGCTGCTTGGGGACGATGGGATGCAGGGTTCTTAGACCAAGCTGTTTTTTGAGATATGAGTCTAACCCATTTTTTCAGACTCCAGTTCCTCTACCGTCACCTCCACCATCCCCAACTTCTTCTCCACCTCCCTCTACAGGAGGTAAAGAATCCAGTCTTGCTGTTTAAATATACTCCATATCTTTCACTTTCATTCTTTTTTTTCCTTTCACTTTCATTTAACACAAAGAATAAACTATACTCCATATCTTTCACTCTCACTTTGTTTTTTTCTTTCACTCTCATTTCATACAAAGAATAATTCGACATAATTAAGATGACCTCTTTCTGCAATCATTTTCTTATTTCAAGTTGCATACTACCCATCAACAGGAAAGCCACAAAATTTTCTATGTTCCAAGAAAAAAAAAGAAACTTGGTCCCCATTTCCCGTCTTAATATTAACAGAAATCATTCATGATTAAAAAAAACCAATGGTTGTAGAATTCAATAAAATGCAACTATTCAAGTAAAAATCTTCGCTAACTATCAACATACGTGGCATAGAGTAAACAGAATAAACAGAGCAAGCAGAGCAAAGCACTTAAAATTAAAAATATTATTCTTGGATAGACACCTATTAGTAGTGGTTTAACGTGTGACGACCAGATTTGAAGGATCTGGTTTTAATTTCCCTTCTTTGTTAAGGTTTTCTGTTAGTTTGTGGAGATTATTTTTTAAAAAAATTGTTTTGTTGAATCTCGAAATTAGGTTGTCATGTCAAATCTCCTGTCTGGTTGACTAAAAACTCTCACGACATTAGAATACGGTTTGGGTGAGAAACATGTACAATCACAGCGTAATTGCCACACACAAAGATGAGGTGGCTGTTCAAACGCAGCAAAAGGACAAGTCACTAGATGCCCAAGAGCAAAAGCGGGCAACACAGCCAGCCTGTAATATCAAAAACAGAGGCCACCAAGCCAAATCAGAAGGCATTTGCCACCTGCTAGAACTATTAAAAAACAAAATCCTAGCATTCCTCTAGAAGATCAGATTACCTAATCAAAACAGAAGAACAGAGCTCCCGAGCACGACACATTGTTGTAACCGTGATACCTTAGCCCCATAACTGATTGAGTGATGGAGCATTCTTTTGACTATGTTGATTTCAGTTTACTGCTAAGTTGTGGGTGCAGATCCTTTATGCATGATAGGGCTTATCAGCTTTATCGGGTTGTTTTGCTTGTGTTTGGATATGTAAGAGAGAGAAGCATCCAAAATGGTCATGTTTCTCACTCTTGCTCTCCTTTCGCCCTTTTTGGCTGTTTGAGAGTGGCTGTAATTTCTTGTCTGACTAATATTAATATTTTGTAGTTGTATAGCATTTTGACTTCAGCTGGCTTTTTTGTATGCCAAACTTCAGGAAGGGCACCTGGACCAAGTTCCCCTATCTAGGTCCCTTCCTTTCTGTGTATATAGGGGATTTCACTCAGCTTTAATGAAAATGACTTTAATCTTCAAAAAAAAAACCGTGATACCTTAAGCCCAACCATCAGCACGACTTGTTCTGTTGCCAAGCTTTAGAGTAGCACATGAAACCCCTGCCTTCCCCCTAAACTTCCTGTAACCCATTATCCATCATCACAGGTACACTGATCTATTAACTCCTTCCACCCCCAGCTCTCTTATACAATGTGGGGATTAATCTTTTAAGTTTATCTATACAATGTGCAAGTATATACAGTTCTAATTCTGAGTAGACTCGTACTTTTGAATTTTGCAGAAAAGGGCAATAACTCAATTCGGACTGTCATCAATTTTGTTGCTTCAGTTGTTGGAATTGTGATCCTAATAATCATCTCCATCTGCATCTTTCTGAGAGCCAGAAAGACCCGGAAAAAAGTTGAAAGTAAGTACTATTACTCCCCTAATGGCTAATTCAATATGATATTTGACTTGATTCAGTAAAATATAATGGTTAAAAGACTTTCACCAACTGGTGAAGAAATTTTTTATGAATAAGCAAACATTACCACTGATTATCAGTGTACAAGTTTAAAATGTGCAAGCAAGTAAGCAAACATGAGAATACTCTTTTATGCCCATGGTTCATTATTTTTGTAGGAACAGAGAGTTGTATTCTCTCTCCTCTTAATGAATCTTTGATGATTGAGCAAAAAAAAAAAGAAGTGATTGGTTCTACTTTCTGTTGTAAGCTGGTCTTTAGCTTCAAGGGAGTGGCAGAGGTTTATTAAATGTGTGTTTATCGGGTGTACTTTGGAAAAGGGTAGAGAGCTTTAACACAATGCGTTTAGCTTAGCTTAGGATTCTGATGCTGCCTGTGGTCTTGGAGTGGTCGTGCACAGGCCAGTTATTATATGGCAAACACAAGCCTTGATCATTTCATTTTTGGTACAGTTTCACTTTCAGCTGGGTAGTTTTAATGTTTTTTTAACTATATAACCATCAAAAGGAGCATATTTGTAAATTAATAATATCTATACTTAATCCTATAAATTTGTTCTTATTCAATTATAGTTAATCTGAAACTTATCTTAACATATGTACTATAGATCAAGTCAAGCGTGTACATTTAGATTGGAAAATGCGCTATAGAATCATAGGAGGCATTGCTCGCGGACTCCTTTACCTTCATGAAGATTCTCGATTGAGAATAATCCATCGTGATCTTAAAGCAAGTAATGTTTTATTAGATGCGGAGATGATTCCTAAAATTGCAGATTTTGGAATGGCAAGATTGTTTGTACAAGATGAAACACATGGCAATACCAGCAAAATCGTGGGGACCTAGTGAGTATCAAATTCCCCTCGAGCTTTGGATCGTTTGTTTTTTGCATAAATTCCAATCCTATATGTAAGAGAAACAGCATGGAACCCCATACAAAGATTTAATTTATATTTTATGATTAAGAAAACCTTAAATCATAAGAATGACACATGAAATGTTCATATGCAGTGGATATATGGCACCAGAGTATGCTATGCATGGGCAATTCTCAATTAAGTCAGATGTATTCAGTTTTGGTGTGATAATTTTAGAAATTGTAAGTGGTCAAAAAAATAATTACTTTCGAAACGAAAAGAGTGTGAAAGACCTATTGAGCTATGTGAGTATGCTTATCTAAGTTCATATTTCGATTCTGTTTCGTTAATTAAAATGTCATAGCATTAAGCATAACAGAATCATGATGGTTTCCACAGATTCCTATTTCACTTTTCCTGTATGCACATTGATAATTTCTTGCAGGTCTGGACAAATTGGAGGGAAGGGACAGCACTGAATCTCATTGATCCAACTTTGAGGGATGGTTCGAGAAATGAAATACTGAGATGCATACACATTGGATTATTATGTGTTCAAGAAAACGTAGCTAACAGGCCAACCATGGCTACAGTTGTTCTGATGCTGAATAGCTTCTCAATCTCCCTCCCAATGCCCTCCCAACCAGCATATTTTATGGACAGCAACATTGATTCTGACATGTCATCCTCGCGGGGTTTTAATTCTCGGGTATCAGAGTCAGAGCAATCCAAAAGTGAATCAATCCCTCAATCCCAGAACGAGGCTTCAATTACTGAATTATATCCTCGATAGTTGCTTCAGAATTGTCTTAAATTCTACAGCTTTTCCAGTCGACGGTGTCACTTGCTGCACCAACTTGGACCTGTCTCAAGTGGTAGGATTAGGTGAGAATTTAAACAGAAATTTTAAAGGCTTCAGAATTATCTTAAATTTTAGAGCTTTTCTGTTGAATATGCCACTCATTCACTTCTATTAATAACCCCACATTTTCCTTCCGATTAGAATCCGCCATCTCTTTTCGATCCACATATAATCCAATTAACTAGGGTCATTTAATTTAGATGGCCAAAGTCGTCCCTAAGGATGCCGTTACGTTTTGCCTATGTCAATTCCCAGAAATATAATTCTTGAACTACCATAAAGTCCATAAAAATATCAGCAGTTGGAAAGGAAACCGCGTTTGGTGCAGAAAGAAAGCCAAGTTGGTCGTCCATTTGCGACTTGTCATCCACTACTTCTATCTCTATCAACCCTTTCAAAAGATTTAAATGAATTCATGGTACAATTGTTCAAAACTACATAACTCCACAGGTAGATAAACCTGAGAAAGTTTTGGCAAAAATAAAATAAAATAAAATATTTATTTACTAATTGGAAAAAAAAAATTAGCTTATTTTTTGCTCAAACAAATGTTGCTTCCATTAATTAATAAGCTTGAACACCTAACACATCTCCTAGAGAGATGCTGAGATGGTAAAAGCACCCAGAAAAACAATCAGCGCGATACAACAAGACCACCTAAAACCTTCAGTCCCAAATAGCATATAACACATTTACAGATATCAAGCCCAGAAACATCACCCCATATCGGTGCAATACAGACATCATAACAGTACATAAATTCTCTCTTCAAAGTCCTCACTTTCACACTGCTGCTTATCCCTCTGATATCAATTCTCTCCAACTGTTAAATACCCAACTTTCTTTTCAAAGAAAAATCTGGGTAATACCTTGTTTTATTTTAATCACCCTAACCCTTGTTTCAGCACAAGTGGTAAATTCAAAAAGTCAGAATTCAGTAAATTATTAGTTTTCTCCATAGAAGCATGTGTCTGTATACAGCTTCATAGTAAAATTTTTCAAAGGGGAGAGATACACAACGGAAATGAGAGCGTCAGGATTGCTTCTCTTTTTCTATCCGGCTCTCCTATTCCTTGCTATATTCACCCTTGCAGCCGATCCATACTTCCAGTCTCGTTGCGTAAACTCAGCGGGTAACTACGCCGCAAACAGCACTTACCAGGCCAACCTCAACAGCATCTTCTCTCAAGTCACCTCTCTAACAGAATTCAATTATGGGTTCTATAATCTGTCAGCTGGTCAAAACCCCAATAATGTCAATGCGATTGCACTTTGCAGGGGGGATAGAAACCAAGATGATTGCAACAGTTGCCTTAATGACACCGTATCTGAGCTCAGGCAGCGATGTCCCTTATACAAGGAGGTGGTTGGATGGTCTGAATATTGTATGTTGCGCTACGCCAACCGAGACATCCTTGGAGAAATGGAATACTTCCCTGAGGCTTGTCTATACAACACACAGGACGTAACGAATGCTGATCAGTTCAATCAGGCATTGGATAACTTGTTGAATAAGTTGAGCAGTCGAGCCGCAGCTGCGGGTCCTCTTCGCAAGTATGCAGCAGATAACTCAACGGTGGGCGTTCTTCAAACAGTATATGCTATGGTACAGTGCACCCCTGATTTGTCGGAGCAAGAATGCGGCGAGTGTCTAAGTGTGGCCAAGAACGGGATTGGAAGTTGCTGCTTGGGGAAGAGGGGATGCAGGGTTCTTAGACCAAGCTGTTTCTTGAGATTTGAGTCTAGCCCATTTTATCAGACTCCAGTTCCTCTACCGTCACCTCCGCCATCCCCAACTTCCCCTCCACCTCCCTCTACAGGAGGTAAAGTATCTAGTCTTGCTGCTAAAATATACTTGATATCTTTCTCTTTCATTTAATACTAAGAATAGTTTGACATAATTAAATCTCCTTGACACCTAAATCTTTTCCGTTCCCTATATATAGATGATCCTTTTATGTATTCATTTTCTCATTTCAAGTTGCATGCTACCCATCAACAAGAAAACCACAATTTTCTATGTTCTAAGGCAAAGAAGAAGAAACTTCCTATCACTCAATAATTCTATTGTTTTGTATTTGGGCCATGATTTATTTTCTTGTTTTCTGTCCATGACTATTCTAATTGGAATGACAAAATTAGAAACGTGATACAATCAGTTAAGATTTTTCGTCCTTATTTCTCTTCTTTATATTGTAGAAATCAATTCATGATTAAAAATTAAAAAAAAAAATAGTAGTGGAAGAATTCAATAAATTGCTAGTATTCCAGTAAAAATCTTTACTCTCCAATTACTCTCAATATACAAAACACAGTTAGTACAACAAACAGAGCAAAGCACTTAAAAGGAAATAAAATTATTCCTAAAGGAACACCAATGAGTAGTGATTTCATATGTGACAAGCAGATGGGAAGCATTCTATTTTTTTTTAATTTGTTTCTTGCTTTGGTAGGTTTTTCTGTGTCCTTGTGGGAATTATCTTTTAACTTTTATCTATACAATGTGCACTTAGTATATACAATTTTAATTCTGAATAGACTTATACTTATGAATTTTGCAGGAAAGGGCAATAACACGACCTGGATTATCATCATTGTTGTTGCTTCAGTTGTTGGTGTTGTGATGCTAATAACCTCCGTCTGCATCTTTCTTGGAGCCAGAAAGAACTGGGAAAAAATTGAAAGTGAGTAACATTACTCCAGAAATGGCTATTGCAATATGATATTTGACTTGATTCAGTAAAATATAATGGTTAAAAGACTCTCACCAGCTGCTGAAGAAATGTGTGATGGTATAAGCAAAAATTGGCATCAATTATCAGTTTACAAGTTTAAAATGTTGCTGAAATACAAACAAATGCCATTTTTTAGCTGCTTGTGTAAACATTTTACTTTTTGCAGCTGTTGCTGAGATTATTTGGGTTGAGTCCTTGCAATTTGACTTTGCCACTGTTCGGGTTGCAACTAGTAACTTTGCAGATGCAAATAAGCTTGGTCAAGGTGGATTTGGAGCTGTTTACAAGGTAAAGAGCCTTGCTAATTGGAAAACAATATACAATTTACCCCAAAGAATGAAATTATAACCTAAATTTTGGAATCAATCTAGAATCACATATGGTACATCCTACTATCTCAGGGTCTGCTTTCAAATGGACAAGAGATTGCTGTGAAAAGATTATCTACCGATTCTAAACAAGGTGAGGTAGAATTTAAAAATGAGGTCCTGCTGATGGCCAAGCTTCACCACCGCAATTTAGTTAGGCTCCTTGGTTTCTGCCTGGAAGGACGTGAAAGACTTCTCATCTATGAGTTTGTGCCAAACACAAGCCTTGATCATTTCATTTTTGGTAAAGTTTGAATCTGACTTTTATATTGATAATTTTTATGCTTTTTTAGCTGCATAGCCATCAACATGAACATATTTGTAAACTAACAGTATCCAGGAAAAACCCATAATAGTTAATCTAAAACTTGTGTTAACATATATACTATAGATCAAGTCAAGCGCATACAGTTAAATTGGGAAAGGCGCTACAAAATCATAGAAGGCATTGCTCGGGGGCTCCTTTACCTTCATGAAGATTCTCGCTTGAAAATAATTCACCGTGATCTTAAAACAAGCAATGTTTTGTTAGATGCAGACATGACTCCTAAAATTGCAGATTTTGGAATGGCGAAATTGTTTGCACATGATGAAACACGAGGCAATACCAGCAGAGTCGTGGGGACCTAGTGAGTACCAAAATATTCAATTTAGCTTTGAATTGTTTGTTTTATGCATAAATTCCAATATTATATATTTTAGAATGACATAAGAAATGTTTATATATATGCAGTGGATATATGGCACCAGAATATATTATGCACGGTCAATTTTCAATTAAGTCAGACGTATTCAGTTTTGGTGTAATAATTTTAGAAATTATAAGTGGTCAGAAAACTAATTACTTTCATAACGGGGAAAGTGTGAAGGACCTGGTGAGCTGGGTGAGTATGCCTATCTAAATTCATATTTGATTCTATTTTGTTAAAAAACTGTACCCTTAACTATAGCAAAATCATGAAAGTTTCAAAGATTCCTATTTCACTTTTCAATATGCATATTGATAATTTCTTACAGGCTTGGAAAAATTGGAGGGAAGGGACAGCGTTGAATCTCATTGACCCAACTTTGAGGGATGGTTGGAGAAATGAGATGCTGAGATGCATTCACATTGGATTATTATGTGTTCAAGAAAACGTAGCTGACAGGCCAACCATGGCTACAGTTGTTTTGATGCTTAATAGCTTCTCAATCTCCCTCCCACTGCCCTTAATGCACAGCGACATTGAATCTGACATGTCATCCCCGTCGAAATATTATTCCCATGTCTCAGAGTCCAAGCAATCGAAAAGTGAAACAATCCCTCTATTGGAAGAACGAGGTTTCAATTACTAGAAACTATATCCTAAAGGCTTCAGAGTTGTCTTAAATTCTATAACTTTTCTATTAAAACTTGCATTTTAATAAATAAGGATAATTTTAAAAATTAACATTAAATTTTCAGTAAAGTACTTGTAAACCAAACGTTATAATGTTATCTTTCTTGCATATTAATCATCATTTTACTTGTATATCAAACACTGTAATATTATTTTTCATACAATCATATTACTTGTAATCACATTATTTACAATTGTATTACATTATAAAGTACCAAACGCTACCTTACTGATAACCCAATGTTTTCCTTCCAATTAACTAGGTTGATTTAATTTTAGATGAATAATTGTCAAACTCGTACCTAAGGATGCCATCCGGATTTCCTATGTCAGTTGTCCAAAACGTTATTAACGTACTACAACACATGAATAGGAAACCGCGTTTTGGTGTTTGGGTAGAAAGAGAGCCAAGTTGGTCATCGATTGTGGCTTGTCATCTGCCACTTCCATCTCTATCGACCCCTTCAAAGGGTTTGAATGAATTTGTGGTACAACTAATGTTCAAAACTACATAATTGTTATATAATCGTACATATCCTTCACATCTAGACAATGCGAAAGTTTTGGCAAAAATAAAATAAAATTTTTATTTGTTAATCTTACAAAAATAAAATAAAATTAGCTTATATTTTGGCAGCAAGATATATGGCTTAAGAAAAGAGAGATTAAATACCCAACTTTTTTTTCAAAGATAAATCTGATTAAGACATTACTTTAATTACCCTAAGCCTTGTTTCAGCACAAGTGGTAAAATTATAATTTTAAGAATTCTCACGTTGCTTGTATGTGAATGCTTGTCTCAATATTTTCTATTAATGAATGCACTAGAGTTAAAGAGTGAATCTTCCCCTCTAGATAAGGAGAGTTCCTCTTCTCAATAATATGCACAGTCTCGGTTACATCATCCCTAGTAACACAATAAACATTCCTCAATGTAAACAACGCCCATATTACAAGCAACGACCCCGTTACCCCTTGGAAGGGTTGTATAGGGATGATGTAACCTTGCGACTGTTTGATGTATAGGGCCCTGATTTAAATTTAAGTGCAAAAAGGTGCTGCATATACACAGAATCTGATTCAATTGCTACAGCAGAAAATTCAAAGGGTCAGAATTCAGTAAATATTAGTTTTCTCCATAGAAGTACGTAGCTATATACAGCTTCATAGATAAAATTTTTCAGAGGGGAGAGATACGCAATGGCAATGGGATTTTTAGGACTGCTTCTCATTTTTTATCCGGCTCTCCTATTCATTGCTACATTCACCCTTGGGACATCGATCGATCCTTCCACTATCATTGCGTAAACTGTAAAAGGTAACTGCACCATAAACAGCACTTACCAAGCCAACCTCGAAAGCATCTTCTCTCAAGTCACCTCTCTAACAGAGTTCTATTGTATGGCTTTTATAATCTGTCTGCTGGTAAAAACCCCAAGGAAGTCATTGCAATTGCACTTTTTAGGGGGATGGAAACCAAGATGATTGCAACAGTTGCCTCAATGACACGGTATTTGATCTCAGGCGGCAATGTCCCTTATCAAAGCAGGTGCTTGGAAAGTTGGATGGTCCCATATATACAGACTTCTAATTGTTGAATTTTGGGGTTTTTACCTACCAAAGGATATGCAGTATGCTCTTCTTAATTCAATTTTAAATCACACGCCTTTATAGGTAATTTACCTCTAATTTATTTTCATAAAAAATTAAGTATGCATATCATTCGTTTTGATTAGAAATGGGAAAAATACACCAAAAAAATTAAAACTTATTAAGTTTCATTTCAAAAATAAATATTTCATTAGAGCAATATTCTTTAGTATTCCGTTTGATAATTGTTTTCATAATTTTATAATACATGTTTAGTTGTGTATTATCATTTAAAATTTTATTAAACATTTAAAACAAAATTATTAAAAAAAAGGACTTCAAATCAGACACGAAATCTAGGAGAAAATTCTGAACGTCATCTTGTTGGGGCCATACAGCTGTAAGATTGACTTGTTGACCTCCTTCGGTCAAGTCAAGAACCCATTTGGTTTTGGCTGCTTCTATTTCAATTCTAAAATATCTTTGGAAAAAATTCTAATTTTTTTGTTCTCTTTTTTTGAACAGTAAGATCTTGAACATATAAATCAGATTGATATGTAACGATTATTTCTTTTTTTTTATTTCATAAAACATTTTTTGCCTTCTTTGGGTGTTCAATAAGTGAGTTTCCATAAAATTTTACAAAGTTCATTTCAATTCCATGATTGTATTGCTGTTAATTATTTGATGTTTTCCAAACATGATGATAATATTTGCCTGAGAATAAAATTCTATTGTAATTGATTTTCCAAACATAGAGTTAAAAGCTATGCAACAAAGAAGATAAAAAAAGGATAGTGACAAGACAATAGTCACAGAGGATGACATGTTCCATGATTTTATTTTTGAAGGTTTCTCTTTGGCTTTTCCAATCAAAATGAAAATCATAATATTTAATTTGAAATTTGTGTTAAGATATATATTATAGATCAAGTTAAACGTGAACAATTAAATTGAAAAAGGTGTTACAAAATCATAAAAAGTATTACTAGTGTCTCCTTTACCTTTATGAAGATTATCCATTAAGGATAATTTATTGTAATTTTAAAACAAGAAATTCTATTTCAATTCTAAAATATCTGTGGAAAAAAAAACCATGATTAAAGCAACAGTGGGAAAAGGGAAACTAGACTCTTTGTTGAGAATGCATTGTTATGATTTTATCTGTCGCATCCATCAGGGGTCATCTTGAGTCTTCAGCACTAAACAACAATTTATCCCGATAGTGACTGGCATGTGCTTGGTCGTATGCGTCGGGCCAAAATTTATACCATAAAAAGGAGTATGTTCTTAAAGTTTTCTACACCAAAAATTTGTGAAGGGCAAGGAGAGCCGCTGGCGATGGGGTGTTCAGGACGACTCCTGTTTTATTGTTCAGTCATCGTATCCCTTGCTGCTCTCGCCCTAGCAGATGAATCTGATCCTTATTTTGAGTGTCGATACGTTGAGGACAAAGGAAACTACACTGCAAACAGCACTTACCAGGCCAACCTCAATCGCATCGTCTCCCAACTTTCCTCTCTTACAGAATTCAATTACGGGTTCTTTAATCTGTCTGAAGGTGAAAGCCCTGACAAGGTCAACGCAATCGCTCTATGCTCGGGGGACAGAACCCAAGATGAATGCAACAGTTGCCTTAACCACACCGCAACAGTGCTCCTGCAGCGCTGCCCCTGGTACAAGGAGGCCACCGCATGGTATCAGTTTTGCTTGGTGAGGTACGCCAACCGAGACATCTTTGGACAACTGGAAAACGAGCCCCGTACTTGTGCCTACAACGAAATGAATGCATCGAACCCTGAGCAGTTCAATGATGGATTAAGTAAACTTTTGAATAATCTGAGCAACAATGCTGCAACCGGGGGTCCTCTTCGCAAGTATGCAGCTGGTAATGCAACGGCTGGTAACTTGCAAACGGTATACGCTGCGGTGCAGTGTACTCCTGATATGGACGAGCAAAATTGCACTGCTTGTCTAAATTACGGACAGCAAGAGTTTTTAAACTGTTGCAAGGGAAGGATAGGATGCAGGGTTCTTAGACCAACTTGTATCTTGAGGTATGAGGTTGACCCCTTTTATCAGACTCCAGTTCCTCTACCGTCACCGCCACCATCTCCAACACCACCTGGTCCAACTTCTCCTCCGACGCCAATAGGAGGTAAAGAATCTATCGCCTTTCTGCTAAAACATATCTTTCTTTTTCATTTATAATCAATATTAAGAACAGCAAGATCTTGAACATATAAATCAGATTGACAAGTAATGATTCCTTTTTTTTTAATTATTTCATAAAAAATTGTTTGGCTCCTTTGGGTGTTTAATAAATGAATTTCCATTATATTCTACAAAGTTTATTTCAATTCCATGATTTGATGTTTTCCAAACATGATGATAATATTTGTAAGAGAACAAAATTCTATTGTAATTGATTTTCCAAACATAGGGTTAAAAGCTGTGCAACGAAGAAGAAAAAAAGGGTGGTGAGAGGAGAATAGTCAAAGAGTGGGCTTAGTCAAGGGTGATGTAAGCAATAGATTTGAAATTTTAAAGGATGACGTTTTCCATGATTTTTTCAAGGCCTCTCCTTGACCTTCTCAATCAAACAATCAAATCTAACGAAACTCTGCAATCAAATCTTTATTCCTTCTAAGATACACAATAAGAACAAAAAAAAAATTCAAATATTGATTCAGTCTCTTGGCTTAAATGACAAAATAAGATTTTCTAAGAGCAAAGCACGAAAACCCATGAGACTACCAGATTCCAAGGGATCTTGGACTTGTGGGTTGTCTTTTAAGTTTATTTATGTATACTATGTTTGCTTAAATTCTACGTTTAATTTTGCGTTTTGCAGGGAAGGGCAATAACACTACTCGAACTGTCATCATTGTTATTGTGTCAGTTGTTAGCTTTCTGATACTAATTATCGTCTCCATATCCATCTTTTCAAGACGAAGAAAGCCATTGGAGAAAGTTGAAAGTAAGCAAATATATTGTGCTAGTTATGACATTAAATTTGACATGATTCGCTAAAATAGAATGCTATTACTTCACCTCCTGAAAAACAACACATTGGTGAGCATTGTACTATGGTCATAGACCAATTGCTGAGGAAACTGTACGATAAACAAGCAGAAGTTACATCTAGTATCGGGGAATAAGTTTGCATTGTGGCAGTAGAATGTCTTTGAAATGCATACAAAATGCCAATTATTATGTCTGCCTGAGTAAACATTTTGCCTTTTTTGCAGCTGCGGATGTTCAGATTACTGGGGCTGAGTCCTTGCAATTCGATTTTGCAACTGTTCTGGTTGCAACTAATAACTTTTCTGATGCAAATAAGCTTGGACAAGGAGGATTTGGAGCTGTTTACAAGGTAAAGATCAGCACTTCTATCAGAACAGAATATCAGTATAATTTATCTCAATTGATCATCAAATTCCAGCCTAAATTTCTAAAGCTTGGGGTCTAAATTTATCAAAAGTCACTTATGGTACGTTCTGTTATATTTTCAGGGTCAGCTTCCAAATGGACAAAAGATTGCTGTGAAAAGATTATCTAGGGGTTCTGAACAAGGAGATTTAGAATTTAAGAATGAGGTCCTGTTAGTGGCCAAGCTTCAACACCGCAATTTAGTTAGGCTCCTTGGTTTCTGCTTGGAAGGGCAAGAAAGGCTTCTCATCTATGAGTTTGTGCCTAACGCAAGCCTTGATCATTTCATATTCGGTACAGTTTCAATTTCACTTACAGATTGCATTCATAATAACTTCCTTCAGGTTTCCTGTTTTCAGAGACTTGAATACTTTGTTTATTATGTTTTTTAGCTGCATAGCCATCAACGGGGACATATTTTTAAACTGATCATAATACCCAAGAAAAAAACTATAATTCTAGACTTTGTTCCTACTCCATTAATAACTGATATAAAAAGTTTTGTGAAAATATAGATCCAATTAAGCGTGCACAGTTGGATTGGGAAACACGCTACAAAATCATAGCAGGCATTGCACGAGGACTCCTTTACCTTCACGAAGATTCAAGACTTCGGATAATTCATCGTGATCTCAAAGCAAGTAATATTTTGTTAGATATAGACATGATTCCTAAAATTGCAGATTTTGGAATGGCCAGGTTGTTTGGACAAGATGAATCACAAGCCAATACTAGTAGAATTGTGGGAACCTAGTAAGTATCAACATGTCCTAGTGAGAGCTTTGAATTGTTTCTTGTATGCATAGATTAATCTAGTATTTCATGCCGCAGAAATAGCATAGTAATATCCTATTTTCATAGAAACATTAGATATTATAATCAAGAGGCTTTCTTCACTTGTTAAATTGAGAATAATACAAGAAATGTTAATATGTAGTGGATATATGGCTCCAGAGTATGTTATTAATGGACAATTCTCAATAAAGTCAGATGTCTTCAGCTTTGGTGTACTACTTTTAGAAATCATCAGCGGTCAGAAAAGTAATCGCTTCCATTATGAAGAGACTGAGGAGTACCTACTGAACTTTGTAAGTATGATTCTGAAGAATAAAGTCATGTATTTGTTTCACTCTTGCTAAGCTCTAACATAATGCAAATAAAACGTTAATACAAGTGGAAATTAATAATTTCTTGCAGGCATGGAGAAATTGGAGAGAAGGGACAGCATTGAATCTCATCGATCCCACTTTGAGTGATGGTTCTAGAGATGAGATCATGAGATGCATCCATATCGGGCTACTATGTGTTCAAGAAAACGTAGCTAGCAGACCAACCATGGCTTCGGTTGTTTTCATGCTGAATAGCTTCTCCACCACCCTTGCGGTGCCGTCACAACCAGCATTTGCTCTGCAGAGCAACAATATCGAATCCGACAGGTCATCTTCATTAGGAAGTAATTCAAGGTCATCAGAGTCCAACCAATCCAAGAACAAATTACTCCCATTATCCCAGAACGAGGTTTCAATTACTGAACTATCTCCTAGATAGTGATTGGAAATTGTAAGCTCATTATCTTGAATTTCATTGCTATAAAGTATTATGTACTAGTTCAAGATGTAACTGTATATCTCACCAAGTGGGGTGAAAGTTTGGGTAGAAATCTCAAACTTATATTTTTTACTTATTGGCATAAAAAAGGGTACTGATGTTGCTTATGATCATCACTACCCAACATGTGTAACCTCATTGTAAATTTTTTTGGGTAAAATTTATCCATTTCTTTGCTCTTTTTATGTAGAATCTAAAGAAAATTAAAGAAATCAAATTTTTCTGAGCTCTCCCTCATCAAGAAACCTTTTCTTGACGTGGAGACCCTGCATACAAAAGCGACATCCCTCTTTTGAGTATCTTTGTAAGGATTCAAGTCCAAGGATTGACCCACATGATCCTCAAAAATTTAAATTGAAGTTACTAGTAGTGATGGATTTGGTGCCCGTTTGGCTTGGTTTATATTTAGTTTATTTACTACTTAAAAGTAAAAGTTAGGTCAAACAGAATTTCGTAAAAAACTCTTAAAAAAGAGTAAATTTTTTTTTAAGAATAAAATCTAAAAAAAATGCTTAAAAAAAGCTCCAATTAAGAGCATTCTTTTCTCTTTTTTTTAAAAAAAACATGCCAACTTATTAAAAGAGTTATTTTTCTCAAAAAGATCCTCTCTCTCAAAAAATACTCCTCTCTTTCTCCCTGTCGATTTCTCTCTCCTCTCTCCTTTTATGCAAATCAGGATTTTTTTTCTTCTTACAAAAATTAAGAGAAACAAAAACAAAAAAAATCAAAACTACATTAAGGTATTATTTTTTCCTTTTTTTAGTTTTGTTTTTCATTTTATTTTTTATCATTCTTTTTTTTTTTGGTTTGGGAAACTCTCTTTATTATTTGATATTTCTCAATTTATTGTTTGATATGACAATTATGTGATATTTATTTGTTTTTAACTTTTTTTTTGTATGTAATATTTATTGATTATGATTGAATAAGTCAAATAGGTTTGTTTATGTTAATAATTTGTTTGTGATAAATAGGTCTGAAAATAATACTTTTTCTAGGGCACATAAGACTTGGTCATCTCTATCTTTGGCCATTATATATGTATTAATTTATTCATGTTAATAATATGATTTTCTTGTTAACGGAATTGATTTAGAGGGATGGGAATTGACGCAAGAACATTAACACAGCTGCACTCCTAAGTCAATGCATTATGGTAGACTGTTATGTGCTCATAAATTAACAGGTTGACCTAATATACTTCAAATTAGGTTACAGTCAAATGATAAGGGTTAAACTATCAACCACCCATTCCATTGCTTTATGTGCATGTTTTAATCTTTAAGTTTGCTATAAGCTAATATTACTCTCATGAGAAGTTTCATGATGTCATATTGTATAAATAATTTTTGTTTTCTTCTTCACCCCTGATGGTTACAATATTTTAGCATGTACAAAAACTTCAAATTTTATGAAAGGGACATATTAGGTTAATGTAAAAAGTACTAAACAAGTTTCTTCATATTGTATGAATTAAATAACAATTCTTCGATAACTATAAGATATTAATTACCATTTATGATAATTTTAATTAAAATTAGAGTTTATATAAATTATTTTACCAAACAACTTATTTATAAAAAATAGCTTATAAAAAGTAAATTTACCAAATAGTTTTAACTTAATTTTAAAAGTTATTATTTTTTATAAGAGCTTTATAATAACTTTTAAATTAAAAAAAAAAGTCAGGTTAAACATGCTCTTAAATTGTTATATAAATCTTAACAATCACATTCACAGTAGATTTCACATTAGATTTAGGTGTGGGGTTCACAATCCCATCCACTCAAATATTTGATGTACTCTTCAAAGTCACAAATATTTGATGTACTCCTCAAAGTCACAAATCATCCATAGGACCAAGATCTCACAGTGAAAGCTCACATTGAACTAACAAAGGCTCTAATACATTTTGTAATGATCCAAGTTCAACCACCAACTCAGTAACTTTCTCCTAACTTTTACACAAAACCCATCAATTATACAGCAGACCCAAAGCAGAATCAAACAGGGCAAAGAGAAGCCCTACATGAGAGAGACAAATAAGTATTCAAACATTTTCAAAGTACAAATTTATTATCAAAATATTAATCTGTGTAATTAATTTAAAAATAAGTTGATATTGCTGATGAATGCAACAAAAAGTATTAGTAACTGAGACTAACAATGGTATACCGGTGTATGAGTAATAAAATTCACTTGTCAAAATAGAAAAAGTATTAGTAATTGAGATTTAGCTGTTGCTTTGATTTTGGTTGGGACTGGACTCCTTTTTATTTTCTTCTCGTTGGAAAATGGAACTGGAGAATTTATGACAAAAGATTTGCCAACATGAATAATAGCTTTCCAATTTCCCGAAATTCTGACTAATCTTGATTTGAATTTAATGTCAAAGGGCTAATAAGCTGAAAATGTTGCAAAATACATGCCTAATGCAACCTAAAAACTTGAATTGTGAGAATTTCATTTTAGAACCGTAAATGCTAGAAACTCATTCAACCCATCGGGCCTATTTCTTATCTTTGTTCTTTTCATATTAAAAGTGTAGGGGTGGTCGTGGGTGGGAGGAGGGAGGGGTTGAGCATGAAGTGGGGCCTTCGTTTCAAAATAAAACCCACGCTATGTGTCCAAGCTCGATGGCCCAAGCCTACTTGTCAATTCAGATGGTAAACTAATATGATTTGGTGGCTAAATCAGTTGACCATCCAAGTCTTAGCTATGCGTCAAGATGGCTTTGCCAAACCTTCTGTGAACAGCAACGCATTTGACGCATTCTTCCTGTGGGAACATTCCAAATGTTGGGATTACCTGGTGTCGGACATTGCAGAGTAGCCGTAGGAAGAAGTTATCTCCATTGCAGGCCTTAGAAAATGACTAATTCTCAACTTTCTTTGAAAACCACCAGGCAAGGAAGGTCAGCTGCGGTGACATCATTGATTTATTCATAGTACTAAACTATTAATTATCAAGGTGAGCAAAGTCAACAGGGTGCCGTGGAAGCTGGACACGAAGAGACGTCTTTTTACCTAATCCAAGCTAAATTTTTGAATCACCATTTTGCTTAAGGAAAACTCGCTAGCTGGCTAAATCCCAGGAGCATGAAAAAACCATGACTCTCCTTTACAAATCCAAAGCCTTTCTTTTGTTCTTGATCACAATCTCCGCGCTTACTAGCTTTATCACTTGCCAGTCACCAACATACAGTTATCACTATTGTTTGGGTCCAGATAATGATACCGCCACTGCTGGTTATAAATCTAACCTTACAGATGTCCTGGATTCTATATCCTCTAAAGCTTCCAATGACAGCTTTTATAATGATAGCTTGAATGGAATTTACAGTCTCTTCCTTTGCAGAGGTGATGTTTCTAGCGATGTATGCCAGGATTGTGTAAGCAATGCTACTCAAACACTCACACAAAGGTGCCCTTCTGATAAAAGTGCAGTCATATGGTATGATCAATGCATGCTACGCTATTCAAATATCAACTTTTTTGGCCTGGTGCGGCTTCTTCCAGGGGTGTTAATGTGGAATACTCTGAATGATACTTCACCTGATGAAGGAACTATCGGTGCCCAAGGATTGATTTTCTCTCTAGTTGATCACGCTCCATATACAGAAAATATGTTTGAAACAAAGGAAATGGTAGTGGGAAATGGACCAGACCGTAGGTATGGCCTCGTGCAGTGCAGCAGAGATCTCAATGTCAGTGCATGTTCTTCTTGTTTGAGAGACTTGTTAGACCAGACAGAGAATTGCTGCATAGAGAAAAGAGGATGGCGAATTTTAACTCCAAGTTGCTATATAAGGTATGAGATGTACCAGTTCTATGAGCAACCATCAGCTCCACCACCTGAGAATGAAGGTAAGTAAAACGGGCTTATTTCATCACCAGGCAATTTTTTCTTTCCCTTTATGGAAGCAGAGGATTATCCTGTTTTATGATAAAATTCAGACTGAATATATAAAAAAATAATACTCTAGTAATTTTGTCTGATAAATCAACATGATTGTTTGGTACAATGTATCAGCAGGAGATGGTAAGGGAGGCAACAGCACAAGGAAGACTATAATCATCATTGTATCATCGTTAGCAGGGGTTTTTGTATCAGTTCTGGTGGGTTTCTTTTTCTTGTATTATTCATCCTTAGTCAGGAAGAGAAGACAGGAAGGTAGATACAAGGAGGCCTTCCTACTTGCAGCTTCTTTTACTTTATTTTTTAGTCCAAATTTTAAACATTTAGTACTTGATACTCAGGCGAGGGAACAAGTCAAGTGATTTTGTTAAGAAGTTGTCAAGGATCAAAGCGTGCAGATTTGATGGAGGCAGGTATTCATCTATCAGATGAGGATCACAGCGGAGAGCTGCATCACATCAATTTAGCTACCATACAGTCTGCAACAAACAACTTCTCCAGGGGAAATAAGCTTGGAGAAGGTGGTTTTGGCCCAGTTTACAAGGTTAAAAGTAGTTCTTTGATCTCTAACCTTATTGTCAATTATTGAAATAATTTGCTGTGTAGGAACAGCAGAATGGTTCATATGCACATTAAAATGTTATGAGCCCTCATTCATTGACAGAAGTGCACAATTGAAATTGGTGTGGATATATCTCTTTGGATGACTAAAGTTTAAATGCTTTCAGGGAAAAATGCCTAACGGGAAGGAGATTGCAGTTAAAAGGCTTTCATTGAAATCAAGTCAGGGTCTTGAAGAGTTCAAGAATGAAGTGAAGTTAATTTTTAAGCTTCAACATAAAAATCTTGTGAGGCTATTGGGATATTGCTTGGAGGAAGAAGAAAAGCTTCTCATCTACGAGTACATGGCTAACACCAGCTTGGATGCCTTTCTGTTTGGTTTGTCTCTCTCTTTCTCTCACATGTCAAACTACTGTTAGATGATTCTTGTTTTTCTTTATGCCAAGTATCTATGAGGTGAACTGCATATGCTGAAAGTGTGGTGCATATAAGTGCATGTGAAAGATGAGTATCTGGTATAAGATATGTTTACTTATTTAGATCAAGCATTTCTCATAGCTTAGACTATTACTTTGTTCTTATGCTTTTCCGGAGAGCAGATCCAGAAAAATGCAAGGTACTAGACTGGGAAAAACGCTCAAACATCATTAATGGAACTGCAAGAGGCCTTCAGTATCTGCATGAGGATTCTCGGCTTAAGATAATCCATAGGGATTTGAAAGCAAGCAATGTTTTGTTAGATGATGATATGAACCCTAAAATATCAGACTTTGGAACAGCAAGAATTTTCGCAGGCAATCAAATCGAAGCCAACACTGAGAGAGTTGTTGGCACATAGTAAGTACTTCCATTTTTGTTCCTTCACGCATTAATTGTTGCAAAGCATCGTCAGGCTGAGATGAAGTCATCAGTGTTATGCCTCTAATTATGTTTCACCAAAATTTTCAATTGAAATGGAAAATGGGCAAAAAGATTCAAAATTCAAAAGAGCAATGATTACTAGGAAAATCTTGTACTAATCATGTGTTTTTTGGCTCACTGCATGTTAGTCCACTTTATATGTCCTATATGTAGTGTTTTACTTTCTTCTGCAGTGGATACATGGCACCAGAATATGCACTAGAAGGGTTGTTTTCAAACAAGTCTGATGTTTACAGCTTTGGAATCCTAACGCTAGAAATATTAAGTGGTAAAAAGAACAGGGGATTCTACCACCAGGACTGTGGCCAAAGCCTTATAACATATGTATACATCCTCTCTTTATTATCTCTTTCCTTGTACCTATCCTTAAGGCTTCTTTCCCTAATTAAAACCCTGTTACATATGCCCATGAGCAGGCATGGCAGCTATGGAACGATGGCAGAGGACTGGAGTTGATAGATTCAAACATTGCTGATGGCTGTCCTATTGACGATGTTGTGAGATGGATACACATTGCATTATTGTGTGTTCAGGATGACCCTGCACTTAGGCCTACAATGTCATCAGTTATTCTCATGCTTGGGAGCAGATCAGTTAATCTCCCCCAGCCATCATCGCCTCCATATTCTGCAGCAAGATTTGTTACAACATCTGATCTATCTTCAACTACTCAGACAGAGACAGGGATTCTAACATCTGATCAGTCTTCAACCACTGCAGCTTCCTAGCTCAGAAGATGAAGTATTAAAAGAGACAGACTTAATAGGTGACCTTACAGGTTCTGACTATAGTTACTTTTGGGGAGAATGATGCATTCTGTGCTTGCAAATACAAAGAAAAAGGAAGCTCTAGTTAATTCATCCTTAACATTCTTCATATATACTAATTTTTAGCTTTACTGGCATATTTCCATCCTGTAGAATTGCTGTAATGACAAAAAAAGGCAAGTTGCAACATCACCCGAGAAAAGTCTTTTCCCCAGTTTTGAGAATCTGTTTTGCCAAGAAATGTAAAAAACAATTTTGGTAACCAGTAAAGACAACAGGCTCATTGTGTATGCAAAGCTATGATATTCATGTAAATACTGACAACAACATGAAGATACCCAAGGAAGTGCTGATAAGCTTATATCGAAAATATAGATTAGAATTCCAATTACCAGGTATTTGGTAAATTACCTCGAGCAAAATTAGCCATTAATAAAAAAAAACTAAGAACAAACATCGAAGACTTTATAGCTGACTCACCACTCATGAGTTGTGACTCTGATTTGCAAGGTATTGAAAAATCACCAGAAATCATTATACAATGCACTACAACTAGGTCCTCAGGGCTCCCGTTCTTCATTTCTTCTTTATTCTGCAGTACCAACTCCTCATTCTGCACCAGGGAAGCTACTGTCTATCAACTTTCACTTTGAACAGGTCCTTACTTGCTTTTGCAAAGCTCAGGCTTCCCATATCTATCTGTGAGAAAGATGAAGAGACTTTCTACTGAAATATTAATCAGGAATAGCTCAAAAATCAAGAACCAGTGCCAAGGAAAAGGACTAAAAGCACAAAAAATTTCAATAACAAAAGAAATTGCCTGATTCAGGAAAGTTGGCTTGCCAATATGTACGGCTGGTGTTAGCGAACTTTTCTGCATAGATTGAAAGTACTACATATGAAAAAAATTGTTGGCTGCAGACCCCGATTTCAACCTTCTAAATAACATACTTGAATAGCCAATGAATGATTATGGCACATAGAAAAACATTAGGACTGCGATTGTTATGCCAGTTGCAACTCCATGCAAGGACAATCTCCTAGAACCTGTTTAGCATTATAGAAATAGTTCAATTTCATTTATTCTCTAAATAATTTCAAGGATTATACTAAACTTATGATAATGTTATGCAGTGGAGATTTGCAACAAATACGAAAAATTTTGTCTCCATCAAGGGAAACTAATGAGCAAAGCAATCACAACTAACCATTTTTAGGGATGGAGATGTTGAAATAGAACTGGTAATCATGGTACCACATGCTACAACTGGACCCGTAAACCTCCCATCCTCTCTTATTCCCAATTGTGGTTCTAAATGTCACTAGCTGAGTATCCAAGCACTTGCTACAGTCAGTTCTACTAATATCCCTGGTACACTGAGCCATGCCATACCTCTTCCCAAATTGGCCTGCATCCAACACTGCAGTGTGAAACATCAAAGGCTGCTTTGGTGCTGTTGTTGCAACTTCACTCATGAAGATGAGTCCTTTGGAGACCACAGATGCATCATCAAAGTTGGTGTCATTGACTCTTGCCATAGAAGATTGATCCCAAACACCAAAGAAATGCTCATTTGAATAGCGAAGAAAGCACCATGTGAGCCAGACCTGAACCTTTCTGCTCTTTGAGCAGTCATGCAGGGCCACTGCAATAGATTCTCTTGTACAATTAGCACAATTTTCTGTAGAGACATCCTCTCTGCATTGTATAAGACCATAAATCTTCCCTGAGCTCCTTCCCACAGTGGTTTTAAAGAAGCCGTTGTGCAGAGGCCCTTTTTCAGTTAGTAAACTCAGAAGGTTGTCAAGATTGATCCTGAATGAGCTTTCAGATGTAGAATTATCAGCTTCTGAACATTGCCAACCAGAATTCACATCGCTATCAGCACGGCATATGCCAATTGACAACATTAGAACTAAAAATATAATGAAACTTGGGCCACTGAAATCCAGCATTTCTTAGTTCTGTAACTCATTTATATCTCGTTGCCCCAATGGAAAATACGAAGTGCTAGAGATGAGCCGTTTCTTCTTCAGTTAACCTTGAATTAGCGAGTGTCAAATAAAGAAAACAATAATTACATCTCTCCCGTCTGTTTGTTAAAGGTCAACTCTTGAGCTTCGATGCCAGGCAAGCATTTTTGTTCTTAGCCATTACAAGTTTAAAGTCAACTGCAACTAGTTGCACATACTTGAGTATATATTTACCTCACCTCTCCAAAAGTAGTAAAGAACAGAAAGATTGGATAAGTACAACTGATAGCAAGTTTGAAGTTCATAATAGTAAGATGGGTTCTTTCTTATTGCAAGAATCCAAGGCATTATTAAGTCAAAAAGGGCCTAGGATTGGTGCACAGACGGTTACATTCTACAAACTGGCTGCATTTTCCCGAGACAAATTAAGCACCTAGAGGCCTAGCTTAAAAGAAAAATGGAAAAATTGGAAGCATTTCTTAAGAGCCATACCACAATTTTTTCAGAAGAAAAAAAAAGATATTAACCATTTTTCTTCTTTAATTTTAACCACACAGAAAAAGTAGGTCATTTGTGGCGGACGTTTCTTTGCATCAATTAGCAGCAGAAGAAGAAGTTTGTCTCTTGCATGTTTCCCTTGGACCACTGATGTGATCTTAATGGAGATACCACTTTGATTGATATCAATCAATTCTGAAACATGCCCTGATCCTGAAACTCTAAGGGATCTACTATTATAATTCCCGGTCAGGACATGTTCTAGAACTGTTGTAATTACTAAGATGTTCTGATGTTCCTGCTTTCTGCTCCAAAATGATGAACAACTGAGAAAATGCAATTCTCATTGCGCATGCCATCTAAGTCCATGTCTTTAACAAAAAGTTTCATATGCAAGCAGAAAAGAATTGCTATCAGAACACCAAAAAGTAAAAGATTGGGTGTGACCGATGCAGAGTTAACTAATCATAAATTGACAACTTATGACACATGTTTCAGCATTTAAAGGCGGCTGTATATAAATATAAAATATAAATATATATTATATATATTAAGCCATTAATGAAGACAAAAGTCAACATAGAAATGAATGTCCTTGAGTTCCCCAACCCTTGAACATCCGATTTGTTTTTTCACGATAAAAACAATGGGTTAGGAATGTCAAGCCTGATTGGCCGAAAGTGACAATGTTTTCTTTCTTGTCGTCCATATCCAGATCAACAAAGTTCTTGGCAGCACTCTTTAGCAATCCAAACCGTGTGTATGCGCAGAAAGACAGCCACCGGAAATATTTTCTTTGCAGGGAAGCTTCCCCGAGAGCCGCTAGGCTGTTAATGGGTCTACCGAGTTGGGATTGTGCTATAATTCCAAGTCGACAGGATATTGCTAGGCCCCTTGTTCACAAATGGAAAGCCATCAGTTTTCATTCTATGGCCTTTTGGCTAGATCAGGAGGCGTTTTATGAGTCACGTGGATGACTACAAACTATTTAGTGATAAGGGAAAGAAAGAAAAATCAATGTTCGAATAAAACAAGGAATAGAAAATGTAAACTCATCCACTCCCTCTCCCCATACTCCATGAGAGACAAGCAGACCCAAGCAGGAACTTTATTTTCTGAAAGAGATATAACACATTATCTACTTACAATTGGGGTAGATATTAACCTCAAAAATCCAAGACTGCTTCCTAGATTTGTCGTAATATAAATAAAATTTCCAAGTCATCATCCATTTCCCATCATCTGGTGACCTTTTGGAAGTAATTGCCAGGTATCTCGAGCTTTCTTCCCATCAGGAACATGCCACATATTGCCCCATTACCAAATTTGCCCATCAATATCCCATGAACTTTTTCTTCTTTAAATATGGTGCACTGATTTTTCCTAAAGCCAATCCCACTAGCAGCTCCTTAAATGGGAGTGAATCTTAATTACTATTACAAATATTTTACCCAGCTAAACCATAAGAAAAAGATTGAAAAGTGAAATGTATGTGAGCCTATGTATGAGGAACATCCTTTAGAGATAAAACAATAAAGATGATCATACCTGCCTGTCCCGCAACTGGCTTTTGTTTACTTGTTTCCTCTCGGTTTATAGTTTGTTGGAATTTTCTGCCATTTTCGTTGTTTAAACATGAGATATCTGCCCCCCAGCCCCCTACTTGTAATGGGAAGGGAAGCTTCGTGGGGATTTCTCCTCTTCACGTGTAACCTGTGTGGAACTTACCCTGTAGAGGACACAGGAGAATGAATACGAAATGAAGTAACGACCCCCCCATGTAGTATACATGTCATGTGCTTGCTTATGTATACTACTAATGAAAGGTGGAAATTGTGAGATTTATGTATTGATTTCATGAAATTATTCTTGATTCCATTCCTCAAAATCAAAATACGAGTAATTTATGTTGAATCACAAAATTAGAAAATTGAAATCTTAATATTAGTTCTAAGTAAGTATTTATTTCACTTTTTTTAAGATTTTATTTGTTTTCACTCATAATATGTACAAAAGCTATCGAAATACAATGATTGACAGAGTTTTACATTAAAGAAATCAATTCACTAAACATTTATTGATATATGACAAGATTATCAAACTTCAAATTTTTTTACAATAAAACAGTACAAAAGCAATTTTAAGAAGAATTTGAAGTTCGAAATTAAGTATGATTGCAAATTATTTCTATTAGATTTTTCTTCATTTCTTTTTAGGAAATTAGAGAATACAAAAAAAAAAAGTCTCTACTCAAACAAACACAATTGTCTATTTTTAACAATATAATTGTTTATTTTTCAACACAGGTAACTATCTGTTTTCAACAAAAATAATTATTTATTTTTCAACCTAATTATTTGAATAAATATAACTTTTGAATAATTATAATTATTTTAAAAAAAATTTCATTCTTCCACTATTTTTTCTGATAATTTCAAATTTACATATTATAACGTAAGTACATAAAAGCAAATCTAGAGTGTGTATTATATTGTTATTTAACTCTTTAACACTTTTTGAATTTGATCTTGTACTTTTGTTCTTTTCCCGACAAGTGCCATGCAATTCAAGATATTCTCTCTTCATCCTCATATATAAGAACACTTCATTACGACTCTTGTTTCGACACACAACTCTCTCCGCGAGACACACACCACCACACCAGCACCAAACAACTGCCAGCAAAATGAAGATTCAGAATTTGCTTAGATGGATTGGTCTCACCCTTCCCATTTACATCGCCCTCGCCAACCAGAACCAATCCCATGCAACACAAACGCAACCCATTTTAGATGACCTCACAATTGTCAGTTTCATCAAAAAAACCCTCCTTTGGAAAAGTCATCTGATAAAATTCCAGGGCAACAGGCTGCAGCTATCAGCCCCCACTGTGCTAGCAGGAGTGTTCTGCTTCATGGCTTCCTCCATATCCAGTGCGGGAGGTGTTGGTGGGGGAGGGTTGTATATACCCATTCTGACAATCATGGCAGGTTTAGACCTCAAAACTGCCTCAACTTTCTCGGCTTTTATGGTGGCAGGAGGGTCAACTGCAAATGTTGTATACAATTTGCGTACCACGAGTTCCAAGTTTGGGGGTAAGACTTTGATTGACTATGATGTAGCACTTTTGTCAGAGCCCTGCATGTTACTAGGAGTAAGTGTTGGAGTAGTTTGCAACCTTGTCTTCCCAGAATGGTTGATCACCATCCTGTTTGCCGTTTTTCTTGCTTGGTCTACCTTTAAGACATGTAGAAACGGGGTCGGGCACTGGAAAATGGAATCAGAACATCAGGAAACTAGAAATAGGTGTGAAAAACTGGAAAATGGAACTTGTGGAGAAAGTGGAGAGATTAATGGTCTAGAAGAACCTCTGGTGAGTACAGAAGGAAAAGCAAAATCGAGGTTTCCATGGAAGAAATTGGTGGTCTTAGTTATGGTCTGGTTTTCCTTCTTTGTCATCTATCTCGTTCGTGGCAATCGCTATGGGCAGGTACCACTTCTTGTCTCATTCTCTGATCAAGTCTTTTAAAATTTTGCTTATTAAGAAACAGTAACAAGTCTATTCAGATAGTAAGTTTTCTTCTGCTATAGTATTGTTTTAAGAGATTTCAACTTGAATTCTCATTTCCAAAGCATTAGCCTTCATTTGTCTTTTCTTTTCTTTCTTTCATCTAGAAGAAAAGTATTCCTACTGCTGTATATACATTAGGTTATGTCCAAGTCACAGTTTCCTTTTTTAAGCATCTTTCGGGACCATGTTAGAATATTTCAGACGATTCAGCTAATCAGCTTTCTGTGTATACCTTGTTCTTTTCCTTCTAAAGCATATATGAAAAAAGCTGCTGTCAAATGTCTTTCATCTACTTAAAGAACTTCCACAAGCTTCTTAGGTCCCGTGGTAATTATCTCCTCATTTCATGCCTTTCCTTCTCGCTTGGATTTGCTCAGTCGTGAGATCATGATCAAAACAAGGACTAGTTAATGAAGCAATTAAGAGAGGAGGCGTGGAGATATCTAATTGCTTTACAAAAAATAGAACAGAACATGTGGTATATACTCTAACTAACCTAGTCTTAATCTAATTGAACTTTAAATAGGTAGAGGTAATCGATAATGGCCCGGGTTTGAGTTTAGGCCAAAGTTGTCTGTTTCTTTACACCAAACTCAATTTAAAAAGGAGAGCCGGCAAAGTGAAAGCCACCTCACTTTGGACTAAAGCAGTAAAAAAATCAAGGGGCGAATAAGCTAGCAACTGCTGTATGGTCCAAGTATTCGATTTTGACAGAGCACTAGCTGTTAGCATATCCGCCCACTTTTCTGTTAGTGTTAGTCTCAATTATTACAGTAAAGAAGCATATATAAATTCAATCAAACCAATCATGATTTAATGATAATCTCCAGTGTAGTAGATATTAATAAGTTAAGTGGGGGAAGATATTCAATCAATGTGTAATTCATGGCATGTTGGTTATTTGTGGCTAATTAGAAAAACATGCAGGGTGTCATGCCAATGAAGCCTTGTGGAGTAGGATATTGGACTCTCTCATTGTTTCAAATTCCTCTCGCCATAGCTTTTACTGCATGGATTCTTAATAGAAAAGAGGTCATCACATGCCAAGGTCAAAATAAGCAGGTGCTTAACAACTTAATACAAAATTTATCAATAGCTACCAGACAACTTAAAATTGAGGCAAAAGTTATCTAAAAACCCTTTGTTTTTGTGTTTTTTCCATGTGAAGCGGGTTAACAAGTTTATTTTCCCTTTTATGGCTCTACTGGCGGGAGGCTTGGGTGGAGTTTTCGGAATTGGAGGTGGAATGCTTATAAGCCCACTTCTTCTTCATGTTGGGGTAGCCCCTGAGGTTAAACACTGTCACTTCTCCCTTACTGAACCATTGTAGAGTTTCCATACGTTATCTACTAGCCAAAAGGAATGATGCAAAATCAATATATCATCTGCTTGCAGGTAACAGCAGCTACTTGTTCTTTCATGGTTTTCTTCTCGTCTACCATGTCTGCGTTCCAGTACTTGTTGCTGGGCATGGAGCAAACCGGTACTGCCCTTATATTCTCCATCATTTGTTTCGTGGCATCGCTTCTCGGATTGGTGGTGGTGCAGAAAGCCATACGAGAGTTGGGAAGGGCATCCCTTATCGTATTCTCAGTTGGTATAGTGATGGCTCTGAGTGCCATTCTGATGACTAGCTTTGGAGCTCTTAATGTTTGGGAGGACTACATCTCCGGGAGTTACATGGGATTCAAACAACCTTGTTGAAAATCAATTTTAACTGCGTTTCTTTTTGAGCTTTGGAATTAAGACGGAGGGATTAAATACTACTTGGTTATGCTTAATGTATTAACTAAACCATCACACTTACCTTGTATGGCAAACTGGTCTTGTCCGATTTTGCTCAGGGCCCAAAGTAGGGCAAACTATAAACAGAAGTTCAGCTCTGCAACTCTTTCTGCTTCATTACCCATTCAGGACCATCTTTTCGGGCAGTGTCACCGGGCCACTAGATCAAATGGCTCGGATGCTATCAAAGATTGCCGCAAACAAGACACAAGGTAAAAGAAATTTCAATGAAAAATACACTGGATTTACGTAATTTTAAGTCGAAATTACACAAGCTGTGTAACTTGTAACTAACTGCAAGATCCTCTAATGATATTCTTACTTTAGCATACATAGGCATAGATTAAAAGATTTGGTAACATAATTCACCAAATTTAGTTGTACAAAATTAGAAGTTATCATCTGAGCACTCAATGATAAGAGTTTCAAGTTTCGCACATGGCCTTCAGTTGTCATACTCTTTGCCAAGGAGGGAAATAAAGGGTGAAAAGGACACAATGAAAAGAAAGCCACCACGATCAATGACAAACATAGTTATGAACGATGGCTCTTTATGCTGAGGAAGGCAGACACAAAATAACAGCCTGCCAGCTTATGCAACTGGGGGGCGGAGAATATGATCCTGTGACGTATCAACAGACGCAGGAGGCAAGAACTGCCACATGGAAACTCCAGGGTAGCCAACAAAGGGCACCAGCTTGCCACCAACAACTTGGCCTGGAGTAGAAAATGGAGTTGGAATAGCAGGAGGATGAGGTAGGAATCCTGGCTGAGTACCCAAGGCCTTGACTTGCCGCTCAAGATTCTCTTTTTCAGTCTTTAGCCTCTGTTTCTCATCACGAAGTTCATTCTTTTCAGCCTACAAAATAGAACTCTACTCAGCACAACCAAAAAGAATTAAATACTCAACCCACCCAATGCTGTTGGAAATTTAATTTAAGCAAACTGATGCATCAAATAAAACTTTTAACATGCATCACTTGTCCATGTATATGAGCAAATAAAACCTAGAATATAGAAATCCAGGCTCACCTTTAGCTCATTAATCTTCTCCTGCAGACTCTCATTTGACTCCCTCAGTTTCTGGGCTTCATCCCGTAATTGAGTAACCATCCGAACGGCATCAACCAATATAACAGCCTTATCCACTTTGAGAGGCCTTCCAGGATCTAGGATAGAACCCAATTCCAGGAACCTTGAGATAATGAAAATGTAAACATCAGAGAAGGCAAAATGGGGTGAGGGGAGAGATACTGGGGCAACAAAACATGCCTGTCATTTAGCCTATCCCTTCGCATCTTTTCTCTGCAAGCTTTGGAGCCAGATGCACTGCATGATCCAGACCTGGCCCTGTGATAGAATGATAAGAGATCAAACCGAGTAACAAGTCCAAGCTAGCAATTACATTAAAACTCTACAGAACCTAAAGCAATAAATTGGTGCAGAAGCCAGAGCAGAAACCGCATTACAGAAACAGAGTAAGGGAATACAATAAAAAATAGTTAACGGTTGAGTAGCTGTGTACCGCTTTCGGGAGCCTGTTTCGTTAAGACTGTCTGAATTCCCAAACGATTCATTAAATTCAACACTGCAGAAATATCAAGAAAGATTAATCACCATGTCTAAGGTACAGTGAGATATTAACAGAGCTTAGCTTGAGAGAGCAGCCGGGAAACGGCAGCTAGCCAGCCACTTAGTTCATTATCCTATTCCATTGCTAAAAATAATGCTAAATTAAATAAGGCTAAACCAACAGACAACTTGGAAACAGAACTATAAAATTCAAAAGCAATTGCTCGAGCACCACAACATTGGAAAAATCCTTACTTGAGACCTACTCAAAGTTAAGTTCCTCAAACATGAGACAATCAAGTTATAGTAAGTCCCATGTCATTTTATAATTCATAAGCAATAAATAATGGGAGAAGGGAGGAACCTGAGAGGAGGAGTAGAGCAAGCAAGGGACTGAGATGACCAGATTGGGGCTGCAGGGTCAAGTGAGGGAAGATCACCACCAGGGACAGGAATGTCTTCTAACAAACCATAATCATCAAAAATCCACGTGTTGGGATTTTCCGAAGAGACCAGCTCCTCCCCGTTCGGTTGCCGGGACATCATATTCCCGGCAAGGATTCAGTCGTGCCACAAGGCAGAAGATGGGGTTTGCTGAACAAGTGATTGGAGGAGGAACAAAAACAAAAAGAAAAGAAGAGAAAAGAGAGAGATATGGAACGAGTGAATTTGGTTGGCTTGGGGATTTTTTGGGTGGGAAGATTGTGATGGTGGGAAAAGGCTAGAGAATATTTCCTTTGGATTTGGCTTTCCGGAATTGAAAGGGATTTGAGAGAAAGTCCACATTTTTTTTATTTCCTTTTGTTAAAAAATGTTTTTTCTTTTTCATCCCACCATCCCACATGCAAAAGAGACCAGACCAGTTCACTTCCTTTTGGTTCGGCTACGCAAGAGTGACACATACACAGTCCTTTTCAGAATTTGGGTCTTTTGTTCTATCTTTCATGGTGGGCACGTTTCGGGCTTAACTGCTCCACCAAGAGGGCTTGGTGGACTCGTTGTGGCATTCTCAACATAAACAAGGCTGTAAGCCCAGAAAAAAGGGCTTGTTGTCTTAACCCGTTTCAGGACTTCGGGGCAAGGAAAACCTTATCTATCCTAGTATTTGTTTTGTCAGCATATTCAGCAATGGACATCGGTTGGGTATGGAAGAATTCTGTCTGATAGCTACGTATAACCACCTGGAGATGCACCAATGAAGCATGTGAAAAAAAGATGGTTAGGGGGATGGGTCACAATCCCCAGATTGATGCTGCCATCTGCTTGTGAGAAACAGAGGCAGGTAGCTCAGAAGGCGGGGATAGAAAGATTATCAGAAACAAATCAAAACACGGCATTGGCCGTCGCCAGGAGCTGCCAGAGGCACAAAGCTTTAAACCCCTTTTAACTTTCACCGATTGACGAAGTCAACAAGAAAATTCGATTTGTTTACACTTTACACAACAAATTGGTCCGACTGCATCGGATTCTCGAGTTGTCATGTATGAACAAACATTATATGACAAAGCAAGACAGCTGCTGATAACATTTTCAAACATTGAAATCACACAGTTACAGGACAATACACAATCACCAGAACAACATCTGTGCTGCAGTGATGCACCAAGACAAACACCCCTGTTTTCTCAAACGAACAAGGCAACCACATAAGTTTTTTACACTTTCAACAGATTTATGAACTCACATGCATCGATATGCTATGCATCGATATGCTATGCATCATGCAACATATACGCGAGTGGACTGCACAAAACCATGGATCCTTTTCCTTATCTCTTCTGGATTTGCACCGACTAACTTATCAACCACAGTACCTCCCCTCATCAGTAAAAATGTCGGCATGGCCTTGATCTCCATCCTCGTTGCTACCTCCTAATAATGCCACTCAGGAAGAAATATTCAAGTCATCTTCATAATAAATGCCAATCAAGTAAAAAGGGCAAATAGCAGAAATCAATTTTGGGCCCTTTCTTTTTCAGAATGTCAAGTTCTGATAGCAAGAGAATTCAAACACGTGCAGACATTGTAAATGATTTCTGATCAATGGTTATCAATCACCTAATCTATTGACTTTAGCAAAATTATATTTGAAAGATTTTCCCAGGAGCAGGGTTAGCAGTTAGCACATTGCCTGTTAAACTATGCTGTAAAATCCATGTCAGGAATGAAGGTTGCACCAGTAGAACATAGAAAAGTATTATTAATCCTTATTTTCATTTTATTAAATAGTTTGACTAGAATTCCATCCGTTCAAGAGCTTCTCCTACGACATCATGTACAAATTCTATGTTCTTGGGCATAACATGTCACACAAATAAATAAAGAAAGCTAAACAACTAGACCAAACCAGAAACCTAATATGGTATGAAAAATAGAGCATAGTGTGACACTAACGTTCAAAAATCACCAAAGAATTTTCTTCCCTTCCTCCAAACAATCAAAATATATAAATAAATAAAGAAACCGAAACACCTTACACCAGGGAGCCCACAGTGCTATTAAAAGTCATTATTGTACCTAATAATCATAAGAAAATTCAACTTGATCCCAAAAGGATAATACTTATCCTCAGCTTCACAACTAACTAGCATTGCCTTAAAAGCTACAAGCCAAACCGTATCTTTCTAAAGAGGATTCTTGCACATCTTCACCATATCAAACTACAGTCACAAAATTATATTCAGTCAATAGAACATGGACTCTTGCACATCTTCAGCATCTCAAGCTACAATTGCAAAATAATTTGCAATCAACAATTCATTTATCAAAAGGTCAAGAAGGAGAAGGTAATGAACTCTCTGTCCATGTCGTATAATAACATTCCCATCTCCATTCTAGTTTGCGTGTGGAGTATCATTTGAAATGGTAACCCATTATTTAAAACCCACATCTCAACGGTATATCAAGAGACCATAAGATTTCTTACCTTAACATCATCAACATCAACGGTGAGAAACAGAACATCTTGGAAAGATGAGGCCAGTTCTTCAAAAAAGGGGTTCATAGCCACTGAAGGCATACACCATGAAGCAGTGAAGTGCACAACAATCTACAACATCCCCAGCCAAAACAGAAATCAAAAAGACCTTTCTTTGAGACAAACAGCCCATGTATGCGAAGACATGAATTATGAATATGAAACTCTCATAAAAGAAAACCTTCAAGGAGGCAGATGAGTAACTAAAAATCCCAAGAAAATAAAAGATATAAACAAGATAGTTAGGGAATTTGGACTGTTTGCAAGAACAATGACAGAAAATTTCTAAACAATGGAAAGTGAAGAGAGTTGAAAAGCTTACTGGGCATCCCTGATTTGTGGCTTGGTTGACATAGAAGTCCCAGGATTCAACAGACTCAATCTTCACAACCCTAGACTTGCTCTGCTGCTCTTGGCCCTCCATCTCTTTCTTCCTCCTCTTTCACCTCCCTGGGCAAACTCCTCTCTGATGCTTTGCGGTGTTGCTTGCTAACAAAGAAAAATGACTTCGAACATGACAAAAAATATGAGTCGCTTCAAGGTAGGCCCACCTCTTTCCACATTATCTTATTCATTTTTATTTTGTGCTTTAAACCTAAACAATATCCTGATCAAAAATTGTTAGAAGAACCTAGAATGAAAAGACCAAAGGAGCCTTCTACACCCAGAGCAGAGATATAGTTTTTGTCATCTTCTACCTTTATTAATTCCTATTTTTGCATACTCACCTGGTTTGTTTTGTTTTCTCCCACATAAAATATCTCCCAAAATTATATCCTTTCACGTAAAAAAGAAAAAATTGTCGCCTTCCCTCTCCTCTTCTCAACCCAGAATTCTATTGCTAACGGGAAATTTGGTTCTGTCGTCGACCTCAAAACCATGGGCGCCCACCAAAGGTCACATAGATTTTCTCTGTTTCTGTATCCATCAAATGATGAACGTTTACCATACAACAATGGAAAGAGATTACCTCTTGTCATAAGTCATAAAACCAATCAGAAAACACGGCATAAATCTAAGAATACAGATTAGTAGTAAGCTCAAGCAGAACCTCTACAAGATGATGATACAAACCCCCCCCCCCCCCCCAGGCATATGTCATTTCATTACACTCATTACAACTTCCTTCGATTACTAAATATATTACTTCTGTTGTATAAAAAGAATGAAGGTTTGATAAGAGATAGTTTTCTAGCCACAGCTCAACCGGGAATCGGCTGGCCGCAAGGTCATCTGACGGCGGGGAACTCCGATTTCGCATGCGTTTACTCTTGCAGCAAAGCGGAGAGAGCACAGTGACTCGCCCACGGAGGAGGGGTCCGGCGATACGTTCACAAACATTAGGGTTTTCGAATCTCCACCGAGACAAGGCTGTTTATGGAGGAAATATATTTCAGAAGGACATCCTCGGAGGCTGTTCATGGATGGGAATAAAGATGATAACTTCTTCAAGAGCATTTTACCTGGAGAAGATATGTCAGCTTGGAATTCCTGAAAGGCACATGATCCTCCTTCTTTGCCAAGGCAATATGACATCACTCAATGCGGCCGCGCCCCGCTGCGCGGGCCCGCCCCGCGGGGGGGCGCGGGGGGCCGCGCGGCCGGCCCCGCGCCCGGGCCGCCCCGGGCCGACCGGCGCTGGGTCCCGCACCATCCGCGTGGCGCGCTCCGCGACCCGCGGCCCAGCGAACCGCCCGGACGCCCCCCGGCGCGCGCGCGGCCGCCGGCCCTCCGCGCGCGGGCAGCGCGCGAGCGCGCCGCGCGCGTACGCGAGCGCCACGGCCGGCGCGCGCGGCGCGCGCTCGGGGCCGAGCGCCGCCCCCCCCCGGCGCCGCGGCGCGGGCGCGCGCGGGGCGCGGCGGCCGGCGGGCGGCCGCGCCGCGGGGGCGCGGCGGACGCTGCGGCCGGCCAGGGGCGGCGCGCCGCGCGCCGCGCACACGCCAGCGGGGCGGGGCGCGCCGCAAGCCACCCCGCGGCGGGCCAGCCCGCGGCGCGCGGGGCGCGCGCCGCGGGCGCTGCTCGCCGGCGCGCGACCTGGGCGGCGCACGGGACGGCCGGCGCATGCATAAGCTCTGGTTGCATGGCCTGGTTTGTATGAAAGAGGTCGTTATAATCATAAGAACAATTTATGCGAACAGACAAGTACAGTGCGTACTGCAATCACCTGAGTCTCCTTTCAACCTATCTCCAGTGGCCACCACTCCTTGACAGTCGGCTCACTTCCTGCCACATCAATGAGGTTCAAGACACCCTGCCACTTGTGGCTCAGTGCCCTAACAGAGAAAAGGAAAAGGAAATGTCAGTGTTACAGAGGAAAGAGGGCTTATGAAGAGATTCAATGTGAAGGCAATCAAAGGAAGGATCTTTACCTCGTTCACCCCTGATATCCTTAATGTGAAAACCATGTGACTTCTTGACGATTGCTCATTCATATGCGTCCTCCCCACAGACCTGCAAAGCAGAAAGCATAACCCCCTTGAACATCCAAATTGTACTATGACATGGTCGTTGACAACAATTCTCACACAATTCATTAAATATTAGAGACAATCTTTTCTTGTTTTTGCTTCAAGTTTTATCATTTATAAACATTTGATTGTTTGTAACATCATGTAGTTTAGATGGAACTAATTCTTTCCTTCCAAAATCATTCGATTGGGAAATAATTGCAGGCACAATTTTAATTCCAACATAACTTTGTAGAAACATATGAAACCTAGGGTAGATGCCAAATGCAAGACATAACCTACACAAATATGATGGCAATAATCACGAAGACTCTAAACAATTTTACCTGCTTTGAGCAGCCTGGCGTAAAAGTGAGGAAATCTCAGCTATGCTACTAACATCAACAATGGTCAGGTCACTGACATGTGTATTACCATTTGCATCATGTTTAATGGTGTATTGCTTTCCAGAAACTGCACTCTCTGGGCGTGTTGGATCTGAACAAATTGATCGATTTGTTGATAACAAATCACGGATGGTTTCATTGTATATTTCCAACATTGAAGCCTAAAAATTTTAGAAAGAGATGGTTAAAACCATGATTAGTCAATGTAATAAGTGAAAATCAGGATTCAAAATGAATTACCTGCATTTTGTATTTCCACCCCTGTGCTTGTAGTGACTGACTACTTTGGAATATCTGTTCCAATGAACGCGGTATCAACCCTTTTTGTTCTGGGGCTTCTGGCCTTCCCATCATGGTGTAAGTCTTACCTGAACCTGTCTGTCCATAAGCAAATATGCAAACCTGCCAAACAAAACAACCCACCAACAATCTATGAATGCATATTTCCTTTATATCAAAGTGAAAATGATGCAGATCAGATAGCAATTGTGGACAATTACAACAGATTTTATAACTGAACTAACATCATAGACGTTGTAGAATTCAGCTTCAAAGAAGAAAAGTCATATGCACAAGAAATCATCTAGCTTTAAACTCAGATGTTCCTCAACTTTGAAACAAAATATCATTACCCACCATAGATTACAATTCAAATGCAGTAAAAAGCATAGCTTAAATTTGCAAAAACTCAAGGATAGAATAGCAAAATCACCTTATATCCATCAAGGGCACTCTGTACCAATTGGGATATCTCCACAAAAACATCTTGCTGTGAAGCTTCATGATTGAAAACCTTGTCAAATGTGAAAGGATATTTTTGTCCTGTTGACAGTTAAATAATATAAGTAATTAGTAAGATTTCTTGCATTTGATTTTAAACAGAAATTGAATAAAAAAGAAAGAAAACATATATGTTCTTACCACTTTGTATCAAGTCGATGCCACGGCCAAGAGATTCCGTTGATGTAGGATAAGAGACGACTGCACCTTCTGTCGCTGCACCATCATCCGGTAGTAGAGGACGTACCCGACAAAATACTCGTATGTTCCCTTTTAGTTCCTGCAATTAAAGATTACTTAATATCATTACAGAATTACAAGTAGCAAATAAAGGGTGATGAAGCAGCAGTACCAGAATAGTATTGTGCAACTTTTTCCTTAAATTCTCTCCTTCAATAAGTTTATGCTCCATATCTGCCAATCGATCTTGTAGTTCTTGCATGGTTCTTTTTTGTTCTAAATATTCCATCCGTGTTTCTGAAGCTGATAAATCAGCCATCTAGAGATAAGGAAAAAAAAGGAACAAGCTGTGACATTAAGAACTAGACTGATGATATTTTCTGCAAAACAAGTAAGCAATGTCATTGGTACCTTTAATTTCTCATTAGCAGCAGCAAGCTGAAGCTCCAGTATTCTCATTTGCTCCCTCTGGGAAGAGCATGTCTCCTGCAAAAGAAACCTAGGATGGAGGAAATCTTGCGAAAAAAGGATTTTACCACTTCCAAGAAATAAAACCAACCAACCTCCAAGGACTTTGATTTCATTGTCAAGTTATCTAACTCTGCAAAGGACTTCCCAGTACTTTCTTTGAACTTCACAATTTCAGCAGATAAGGCCTGCACTTGTGACACCTGGCGATCACGATCATCCCGCACTTGTTGCAGTTCCCCTCGTAGGCATTTGACTTCATTTACTAATGTTTCCTTTTGATTAACAGCATCATCTTGTGAAGCCTGAGAACAATAAGATACAAAGGATTCAAAATCTACCATGTTTAATATTTGTTGTCTCCATGTGTGAAGTGTTAACACATGTTTATAGCAACCAGGGTTGCATCTCTTAAGTTTAGAAAGAAAAACAGGAAAGGTGCGCAGAATATCCCAAAAAAAATGTTTATATCAGTTCAGAAGATGTCATCATGAAAAATCTGTCTCAACCATATTATTGCAAAAGATTAAATCCAACCACAACAGAAGAAGTTCACCAAACTGCATTTAATTACTTAAAACACATTATGCACAGGAAAAAAAGCAAAAGAAATAACAGGATAAGCTAACAGAGAAAAATTCTAGAACAGCTGACATAAAACTTACTCTTGACAAGGTTAATTGTTCTTGCAGTGAACTGCAGTGGCCCCTTAAAGTGCTAAGATTCTCCACTATTGTCAGTTTCTCCTTTTCTACTCGTTTGAGCGACTCCCGGACTGTTTCAAGGTCAGTGATTAATTTGGAATTGTACTGTTGGAGACTCAGGATGTACTCTTGTAATCGCTTATGTGTATTGTCAAGCGAGGCAGCCTGCAAAATTGAACAAAATATAAGCCTGCAAAGTAAACACTAATTTATAATAGCATCAATTTTGTTAAAAAAATAAAGCAAACACATCAATAATCAATAAATATATATATCTATATATATTACCCTCTCATTAGCAGCTGCTATATCCTGCTGAGCTTTTTCAAGCTCCTCTGTCAGAGTAGCCACTGACTTTTCAGCAGCAACCCTAGCTTCATTTTCATTTCTATGGCGGTCAATAGCATCCTAGTAATTAAAACCAGACAAACATAAAAATAAAACATTAGAGAAAAACAAATATTCCCTACAGATTTTTAGGATTACGATCTTACCAACTTTTCAGACACTTCCTTGGAAAGCTTCTCCTGTAATGACGCATTACTGTCCCTTAACTGTGAAATAACCGCATTCAATTCTTCCTCCTTGTTTTTCTTCTCCAGCTCTGCGGAGCAGAAGAGTTAATTAACAAAATCAAGCAATAATTCAAACTCACTTGCCAAAAGCAGTGAGAAGTTACCTGTATCAATGCATTTTTTCTCAGCAGATTCCAATGAATTCTTAAGCTTCTCTTTATCAAGCACATGACTCTCATCACATTGTTGAAACCATTTCACACAAAGCTTAAGCCTTTTATTATGATCCGCCGCGTGTTCATATTTAGCCTGTACCAATAAATCACCAACGAGAACAACTATACTAAAAAAACAAATTTACAAAATTAAAATTTATAAACAAAAAGCAAAAGCAATAATAATTTGACCTTGAGATCGAACTTTTTTGCTTTCGGCTTCTCGTTCAATAACGCTTCGACTTCTTCCTTGGTGAACTCATGATTAGGGCATTCCTCAGCGTTTCCAGCATCGGCATTGGCTGTGGTTGTAACGTCTTGCCGGTTGTTAACAACGGCAAAAGCTTGTCTGGTTCGCCCGGTTCCTGTGAGTCCCACTCCTCTTCCTACTGCTCCAACCCTTCTTCGTTTATCTAACGGGTTTTCATCTCCAATTTCCTTCCTCTAAAATTAATAACAAGAACAGTATTAACTAAAAATGAACAAAACAGATCGAGAAATCGCAAATAAAGATGAGAAAATTAAATTGCTTACAGTGGAGGGGCTGCGAGGAGGTCGGTTCTGGTTGCGGGAAGCCATATTTTGAAACTCAGTCGAAGCTGATGCTGTAGTGTTGATATGGCCGGAGCAGGGTTGGATCTTGGCCGTTGATATGTGAGAAAATGGACTTCAAGATCTGGATTTTTTGATTTGATATTGGGTTACAAATTGGAACGTTAGGGTTTGGGAAAGGAAAGCGAGTGAGAAAGAGAGAGAGGGTTGTGAAATTGGGGGGGAGCCTGGGTAGTGGATTTTTGAATTGATTTGAAATTTGATCTGGCGGGCTCTCCTACAAAATAAAAAAAAAAAAACAAATTAACGGTACACGTTTTTGTTTGGGCCCAACTGGGTCGGGTTGTTCAGATCGTTAACCTCAACCCGCTCGACCCAAATGCAGATGGATCGGACTTCAATGAATCAAAATGTTAAGCCTCTGATTATGAATCAACATTTCCTTTTCATTTCTTTATTAGTAAATACCAATTAAATTAAATTCTTTCTCTTTTTTAAAGAATAAAATAAGGAAAAAAATACTCATAATTTAAAGAAAAGTTATGACAAAGAACAGCCAAGTCAAATTTTGTAAAATATCTTAAAAATAAAATTAATCTTTAGATCGTGTTATTTGTTTCGAGTTATTTTTATTACTTTTACGGATATAGTTATTATACTCATTTTAATTTTCATGGATCTTAAATTAGTAAGAGATTGATAGATTTTGAGCTTATAAGTAAGAATTTTTCTCCACCAAATAAGTATATTTTTAAATTAAAAATGTATATTCATAACAAAATCATAATGAAAAATATCAATATCAAACTAGATTCGAATCAAAGTGGGTTTCTCGTTTTTGTAGATAAAAGAATAAGTGCAATGAAAATATTACTTAATTGAATGGAATAGAACATCAATTATGCTAAAATTAATAAAAAATAAAATAAATCTTGACTTTATAAATAAAGTTTTTTTTCACATAATAGATATATTTTTTGAATTAAAAACATAAATTTGTAATACTAATCACTCACATTACTTCTCAAAATAACCATATGATTATTACAAAATAATGTCATATAATATTAAAAAATTAATAAATTAGTAACAATTTCATATAACCAAAATAAGTAGAACATTTACAGTCTTAAAATACTTACTAAACAACATTCTTTTATCAAATCGCAAATCAAAGTCCTCCCAAAGAGCAAATAGCAAGCTGATATACACACCAAATACAACCATTTCAAGTTAAAAGATTTAGTGGCAGTCGTTGAAGGCTGACAGACTTGCATCAAAATCTTTGCAGAGTCCACGTGTCAAACACACAACCAGGCCACCGTGAAACCCAATCCAACATGTCAAATGCCAAAATCATCGACCACCACATGTCTAAGAGCAATTGGTGAAGGCCATATTCAAGTTATCCAAAATAGAAAATGGCAGATAAGGTGTCTGCCCCAAATCAATCTACATCACAGAAAACAAAAATTGAACAAACCTGAACACCACCACCAGTCCAACACTCCCAAAAAAGAATTATAATCTCACATTTTCTACGCTTAGCTCAGTCACGTTGACAACACTAACCGGTTGCGGAGATGGCGCAAGCAATGGCATCGATGGCTGGCTTACGTGGCTCCTCACAGGCTGTGCTGGAAGGTAGCCTCCAACTCAGCGGCCAAACCCGCTTGAACATTGCTGGTAACTCTAGAGTGGCTGTGGCTAGGACTGGTTTCACGGTCAGGGCGCAACAGGCACCAACCGAGCCTGAAACTGGACGCAGAGCCGTGCTGGGTCTTGTTGCTGCTAGTTTGGCCACAGGCTCCTTTGTTCAAGCTGTGCTTGCCGATGTCAGAAAAATCAAGGTTGGCCCACCTCCCCCACCCTCTGGTGGACTGCGTAAGTTATCAATTCTTTCAATTTCTACAGACATGATAGTTTGGTTAAATTTGTGAATCAGCAGTGTTCTTTGCTTCGAGATGGTAAAGAAAGGCACAAAAAATCATGATGAACAAGACAAGGTTTTTTGTGATGGCTGTCAATTGGACTCAAATTGTGATTTTGCGTAAGGAAATTTGTCCATAGTTTCTAAAAGAAGTCATTCATAAACAATCTCTGATAAACTGGTGAGGGTGTTGATCACCAATGTAGTTTCCCAAATTTGATCAAACATTTCTTTGTAGGCCATGGTCCATAAACGATCATGAAAAACTGAAACTGTAGGTTGAAAATGGTATCGTTATTTAATACAGTTCAGTAATTTTGATGGCCGAATCTGCATGTTGGCAGCTGGAACTCTAAACTCTGATGTGCCAAGAGACCTTGACCTGCCATACAAAGACAGGTTCTTCATCCAACAACTTACTCCGGCTCAGGCAGCTGCGAGGGCAAAGGAGTCAGCCAAGGATATTGTTGGTGTCAAGGGTTTGATCGACAAAAAGGCCTGGCCCTATGTCCAGAATGATCTCCGTCTCAAGGCTGAGTATCTCCGCTATGACCTTAACACAGTCATATCCGCAAAGTCCAAAGATGAGAAGAAGTCTCTCAAGGAACTCACTGGGAAGCTCTTCGACACCATCAGCAACGTAAGTTTTGGAGCTCAATTGCCACACATACACACACAGTCATTAAGTCTTACAGTATCATTTAATGGAAATTGGTTCTGGTATGGGTTTCTGTTCTTATTATCATATCTTCTTGCAGCTGGACCATGCAGCCAAGATCAAGAGCACCCCTGAAGCAGAGAAGTACTACGCTCAGACTGTATCTACTCTGAACGATGTCCTTGCCAAGCTTGGCTAAGGGAATTTGCTGTATTTTGATATGTAAACCTTGTTCATCGTTTTGTAGAGACACTTGGTTTCTATCCTATCCAAAGGGAATCTTTTAACGAAATTGAAACTTGTTAATTTGTGAAGCATTAATTTGCCGTCACCTCTCCCAAAAGATCTTTACTTCCAGAAAAAACAGAAAACAACAGCCCATCAATTTAAGCAACTAATAATTAAAAGTTTAATATTCAGTAAAATCTCTAAATTATTTTAAAAAATTTAAATAAACTTTTATAATTTTATTATATTTAAATAAATTTTTATATTTTTATTTTAAACTAAATAAATATTTATATTCTTATTTTAAACTAAATAATTTTTTTTATATTTTTATTTTGAGTTAAATAAATTTTTACAAATAATGATTGATTTAGTCAAAATATTATTTGTCATTTGATACTATGTGACTAAAACGTAATATATTAAAATATTATAATTGATAATAATATAACATATTAATATATATAATAACTGATGATGATGTGACATGTTAATTTGATGTGATAACATGATTAACATTTTTCATATTTTACATTAAATGTTATGCATGTTAGTGTTATTTAAATATAAAATGATAAGTAATATTTTGATAAATAATAATTAATCAATCATTAATTATAAAAATTTATTTGATTCATAATAAAAATTTAATAACTTAATTAAATAAAATAAAAAATATTTTTTTATAAATAATTTAAAAACTTGTTTAAACATTATACCATAATTAAACCAGGCACATTTTTATTTACCTCCTAGGTCTCTCCATTTGAGAGATTCCATTAATGGTCATAAAATTTATAAGATTTTATGATCCCAAGCTACATGGCCATAGTAAAGAATTGATGCATGACCCATGACATAAAGCTTTTTCTCCACTTACAATTCCACGGAAAAGAAATTCCAAGTTTTGGCGGTCTTCTGTTGCATACACTTAAGGGAGAGCAAAACATTGGCTCGACCTTTTCATTGGTCACGTAGAAATATAATTGGTTCTAACATATGTAAAGAAAGAGGACCACGTAGAAATTCAGCAAATTTAAAATAGGCAGGTAAGCTTAAAACATAATTAGTTCTAATAAATAAGATTTATATTTGAGTATTATCTATGTATAGTATTTATATATTATGAGCTAATCTTGGATTATCACTTCATAAATATATAAAAATAAAAATTGAAAAGCATTTTAAAATAAATATTTTTAAATTTATAAATAGTTTATTTTTTAATATTTATAAAAAATTTAAATTATTTTATTAATGAGTTAATAATATTTGATTCTCTTTAAAAATGGATTAAATATGAACAGAAATAATATATATTAAAAATAATTGAAAAATTCAGATAAATCAGCCCAAATTTAAGATGAAGATTGGACTTTGTGGTAACCTGTCCAAAATTTTCAAACGTGGCGGCGGCGGCTGGGCCAGGCCTAGACTTCCGTTTCAGCCACCCTTTAAAATCCCTTATCAATCAGGAAACCCAGGCCCCCTCAGTAACCGTCCATCAAGAAGTACGATCAACGGCCGTAGATGACGATCCGCGTGACTTCCTCTCATTGGCTCTCACACCCTTATCCACCAACTATATAAACGGCAAGATCTCCAAACCATCCCAAATAGAGACTTCCAAAACCGCCACCTGTCCGACCTTTACTTTCAGAAACTCACAAATCTCTAACTTCTCTGTTCTCGAATAGTAACAAAGTCTAACAAAAGAAAAAATGGCAGGAAGAGGGAAGGCAATCGGAGCAGGAGCTAAGAAAATGGGCCAATCGAGGAGCCAAAAGGCTGGTCTCCAGTTCCCTGTAGGTCGTATTGCCCGTTTCTTGAAAGCTGGAAAGTACGCCGAGCGCGTCGGTGCTGGTGCCCCTGTTTACCTCGCCGCAGTCCTTGAATACCTCACCGCTGAGGTAACTAATCCGCTACGATTAAACCCTTTTCTCCTTTTGTTGGGTTTTAGTCTGGGGTGGTGTTTGATTTGTGATTTGTTCTTCTGTGATTTTACAGGTTTTGGAATTGGCTGGTAATGCTGCGAGAGACAACAAGAAGTCGAGGATAGTTCCAAGGCACATTCAGTTAGCAGTTAGGAACGATGAGGAGCTTAGCAGGTTGCTTGGAACTGTTACAATAGCAAACGGTGGTGTTTTGCCTAATATTCATAACATGTTGTTGCCTAAAAAGACTGGTGCTGGCTCCAAGGCCGGCGGCCCTGCTAATGATGATTAGTTAGGCTCATTTTGATGTCAATTTGTGAAAATTTTGGTATTTTTCTTCTGGGTTTTCTTTTGCTTTTTTAGAGGATTAGTTTTGGGGAATTTGTGAAGATTGGCAATGGCTACAATTGATGTTCTGAATCAATTCCTTATTGACACATTCCGATTTCTTCAGTTCTGTTTCTACTTCTAAGAAACTTGGATAAATCCAAAATAATAATAAAAAATAATTAAAATCTGAATGCTGACTTTGTTGCATAGCTTGGAAAAGTAGCATAAGGTAAAATTAGGCATTGGCTCGAGGGCGGTTTGTTCTCTCTTCTCTGGCTGCAGCGGTTGCTGATACGTAGTAAGCAACGGTGAAAAGCCCATGAATGAAACACAGAATTCCTCCAATGGAGAAAAGCCGATGGTGGGATATGCCACATGTTTTCCTTGACTTGGAGTTCGACAGTGTCCCTATGATCAGCATTGAGAATCCAACTGCTAATGTTATCCTGTTTTGATCGTCACCCTTGGAAAAGTCAGTATAGATTTCAGATACAGGTTTCTTCACCATAAAGTCAAGCATGAGTTATAAATCTGGCGAACTTTGGTAGTACAAGGTTTTGTATATGGATTGGGGTATCCTGATAATCGAGAAGAGTTTCTTAGTTAAGAGATTGACAAGTTTGATGAAAATGAAATCTAAATAATAACTTCACGGTGGCCTGGAAACATTGCATTAGTCAAATTGTTATGGGAGGGTAGGCAAGTCCTGGACATGATTTGGCCTAAGATATTCATTACTTTCTGATTCTAATGTAAGTAGAATACGTGCAGTTTATTTGTTCTTCATGGAAAAGTGGAGAAACTAGGCCTAGAGGGAGATGGAGGGATATCAGAAGACACACCATGAGAAAATGAGGGAAGCCACGGCTAATTGTTTGTTAGCTGATGCTCGGTCCAAGTCTTCCTTGGTCCAAATGCATACGCAACCCCCAAGTATGTTACCAATAACATGGGCAAGGCCGAGAAGTACTGCTGCCGTCAATCCTAGCTTGAAAGCTTGAAAGCTGGGGTCTCTGCACTCAAAAATCCACATCCTCAAATGCTTCACCTGTTTAGCAGAACCCTATATCATTAAGAAGAGCTAAACACGGCTGAAATTCTCATTTGATTCTAATTCATACCTTGTTTTCAGCTATTTCGGCTTGAATGCCAAGTATTCCAGCTGTGATGTCCATAGCCATGATCAAGAGACAAACCACAAATCCAAAGTTTTTGGCGGCCATGCCTGTCGTAAAATTTTCGTATGGAGCACCAATGGATGTGATTGCAGAGGAGGCAGGAGAAATCTCAGTGAAAGCCCCCCTTTTATATTGGCAAGCTTTTATGAACTCTGGAGAGGAATACGAATAAAGTAGGACCAGGCATGGAGATTAGAAGCAAATACGAGGGGAGATTAGATGTGAGCTGTGAGTTTGGATTAAAAGCTTCTTTTGTCATTACATTTTTCTTTATTCTTCTTTTGCCGCCTTTCTTTTCTTTATAAATTCGGATTCTTTCCATGCAGAACAAGAAAAGTACAGTATCCACCGGAACTGAGAGAAATATTGAACAATCCCTGAGATGTGTACTGGACAGCAATCAGCTAGCCATAATCCCACCTTAATTGAAATTAGTAACATCTGGCTTAATTCTCAAAAAGCCACGGTCAAGCCCCCAGCAGTAACCCCAGCTTAGCTTGGTGCATTGGCAGTGGCAAACAGGGTGTCCTCCTGCCCCTCCCTTTTCTTCGCCATAGTACCCGTATTCAAGATTCGGTTAATTGATCAAACTATCTTGGAATCAAAGGAAAAGATGGTACCAACGTGACATTGTGAAGCAATACACCATAAACGTACCTCGAAGCCTGGAATCTACCTTTCCAGTGGGCAGCGTCGTACTTTAACTGTTTCAAGTTTCTCATAAAGCAAACACATTTTCACATAGAAGAATCGAAGACAGTGCACGGGAATCATCTCAAGGTTAGCGTGTGGATTCATTAACCCTAGCAATTGCATGGGTCGGGCGTAAGCTTGGAGCTAGTTTGTTTGCGTGAGATTGCTTTAGAACCCATTGGGATGTCGTTAGTAAGCAATCATGTTAGGCCCAATTCAACTTCGAGTATCTAGTTACACATGGCGCGAAAATATGGTGAAAGTGCAGGTGTCGGGCGGGTCCCACGACTGGATTTGGATGACTCTGTCAGAAACATTTTTCTAGAACCAACTCAAAACTTCCGATGTCTTCAGGTCCGTTGTGGTCAGCAGTTTATCAATCCAAAAAAGGTTACTTATCTACAAATACATATATGTATTGAATTGGTAAAGCAATCCTAGGAGTCCTCTCGTTTCTTTCCGAGTAGACGAAAATGTCGCAGTATTACCGATGGAGGAAGTTCAAGGAAGACGAGGATCGACCCGAAAAGCCTCGCCGGGTTGGGGTGACAGAAATGAGGGGACCCAATCACAGTCTCTTGACCCAGAACGTCCTCCAGGTATGGAAATTTCATGGGTTGTTTCATTTTTGATCAGCTTCTTTGGTGGTTGAGAATCTTCGGTTGAGCTGAAAGTTTGCTTCCTTTTTACTAGGATATATTTGAGTCAATGGGTCAATTTGTTGATGGATTGAAGTTCTCTGGGGGTTCCCATAGCTTGATGCCCAAATCATTTCTCAAACAAGTGATTGACATGGCTCACGAGCATAACGTGTATGTTAGTACTGGTGATTGGGCCGAGCATTTGATTCGTAAAGGTCCTTCAGCTTTCAAAGATTATGTCGAGGTATGCTAAGCTATATAACCTGCTGAAGTTTTTAATGGTGTTTTGTAAAGTATTTCGTTTCTAATATAATAATTTAATGTTAATAGGAGTGTAAGCAAATTGGGTTTGACACAATTGAGCTGAATGTGACATCACTTGAAGTTCCTGAAGAAACTCTTTTGAGATATGTGAGATTGATTAAAAGTGGCGGCCTAAAAGCCAAACCTCAGTTTGCTATCAAGTTTAATAAGTCTGATATTCCTACTGGTAGAGATAGAGCGTTTGGAGCTTATATTCCTCCTTCACCTCGATCAACTGGTATGGGACTAGATTCTTTTAACTGAATTGCTAATAACTTTCGAAATTCTCATATGGGCTTTCTACTTGTTTTCTATCTATTAAACTAAGCTTCACAAGAGTAGAACCATATAGATAATCACACTTTTTTAATGATTGCCATTTTGAGACCACTCAATTTGTGTCTATGAAAATGTCCTAACTATAATGTCCAGCTTTTGTGGTGTTTAGAGTGAGTGGAACCATTTAAATATGGAATGTCATGTCCTCTTGCTCCTAATTGTTTTGTCTTGAAATTGCTTTGGATAAGCAATTTTGTGTCAAGGGTTAGAGCTGTAACTATGCCATTTCATATACTTTCACGGGAACTGGTGCATAATTTCTAGAGATTCAAATTCTACTTGTGCTTCTTTATATTTTCATCAATTCTCATTAAATTGTTTGTTTTGAGAATCTCCAATTCTGCATATTCGATCTTTGCACTATCTTGAGATGAGGAAAGGAAACAATGGTTACTTGAAGTTATAACAAGCAGTCTATAAGCAACGCTTAGCTTGCCTGTATTCACAGAATTTGTTGAGGATGTGCATCTCTTGATTAGAAGGGCTGAGAGGTGCTTAGAAGCTGGTGCGGACATGATAATGATTGATGCAGATGATCTATGTAAACAAGCTGACTCTGTACGGGCAGACATAATTGCAAAGGTTATTGGGCGTCTAGGTCTTGAGAACACCATGTTTGAAGCTTCAAACGCTAAAGCTTCTGAGTGGTTTGTCAAACAATACGGACCAAAGGTATAATGATTTTTCACTCAGTTTTCCTCAAACCAAATTCTAATCTTCTCTGCAAACATCATCAACATTCATGGCTTGTGCTTTCAGGTCAACCTCTTCGTTGATCACTCTCAGCTAATGGATTTGGAGTGTCTCAGGGGGCGCAACCTGGGAAAAAATCACACCTCGGTTCTTGGTTCTTCATATTTTCTGTTCTGATCTGATAAGACCTCTAGGAGATACCACTCCTTTGTTGTAATTTGTTAAGTAATTTTGTCACATGTGGTTTCTGTGCTGTGTTATGTTTGTGGTGTGAGTGTGAAGTTAAATGAAACCTTTATTAGCGAGTTATTGCAATAGAGTCAAAAGAAATTTTTTGCTGTGACCTTTTTACTTATTTGTCATATTTGCAGCTTATCATTTCACCATGCAGGGAAGTGAATTCCCATATTGTCATTGAATGCAGGGGAGGCAACAAACTACTCTGCCTTGTTCTGTTTGTTGCATTGATCTAGAAATCATTCTCACATCACAGCGAAACGTGGGAAGGAATAATTGGAATATGATCATGTGCTATTGGCATGTTGAAACGTGACCAAAGGTTGCTGGAACTATTGCCATTTGATAATGAAAATTATTGAATTGATTGCTGCCGTTGGCATGCCCCTGCATGCTACTCAGCACGTAAGAACAAAAGCTTCAGCATCCATATTATGTCAGCAAAGACTTCGTGTGAAGCCTTGGAGCTTACGTTGGATCAAATCATAAAGACTTTGGTATATGGGTTATGTTAAAAACACAGAGCAGAGTGACTTTAAGACGTGTATTAATCGATTGTGCGTTTTGTAAAGTTAAAAAGACCTAAAAGAGTGAAGACTGGGGAGGTAAGCTGTTAAGGCAAAAGTTTCTTTGCTTGCTTCACGGAAATCATACTGAATTTTCTTTTGCAGATCTACTAAAAATGGTGAAAATGGTTTTCAAAGACTTTATTTTGTAAAATCTCTCAGATGTTTGATAGTCCTAAGAATGAGGGGATTCGGATCTCTGATAATTGATTCTTGATTGATTGATATTCGGTTTATTTTTGTGCATCCAACCCAGAAGTTTGACATTCATCTAAAACACAGAAAGGAGAAAGAAAAGAAAGGCAACTTAACAATTGCATGCTTATGGCATTTCTTATTCTGCACTATTTTAACTTGCCTAAAATTTTCTTTTCCTTTTTGAAAACTTGTCAAGATTTTGTATGTCTATGGCAGGTCCAAGCAAGGAAATAATCTGCAAACAGGGTGAACACCGCACAAAAACAAAAACAATGTGCAAAGAAAATCTGGTTTTCCTTGATGCTATGCTTGTCTTGGTAAACTCTAATGGTGCAGTCAGAGTGCAGATATGAGATTTTTGAAGAGTTTTTGAAGATTGAAGAGATAAAAACATATTGGTAGAGAAGAGATAAAAACATATTGGTAAAGAAGAGAAAAGGGTTTTAAAATAAGGGAGAAAGATGCCTGCACCTTGGTTTAGTTTCAAGAGACTAGGTAAGTGTAATGCAGAGTTGTCTGATACCCAGGATCCCAAGGCCAGCGGTAGGAAGACAAGAAAGCCATGTTCATGTAGTTACGGGTGTTCAAGGTCCATATTCTATTTGAGAGATGTCATTCATGGAAGCAAGAGACACACAGACAAGGCACCGATTGGCAGCCCGAGATCTATAGGGAGCAGTGACATTCTCAATCCGATAACCCATCAAGTAGTTTTCACTGACTCAAAGTGTGAACTCAAGATCACTCGGTGTTCTGCTAATGGTGGTGGTAGGGGGGGTTCCACTTTTGTGGGTACCCTTAGGCCTGGGACACCTGGTCCTGGAGACCGCATTTTGGAGCCCGTCTACAGCTGCAGAAGGTCATTCAGCCTTTCCAGGACGACCCTTGGTGGCCCTTCCATTTTCGGAAGTAGCAATGACATCTGTTCAAAGCCTAGGAGATCTCTTGATGCAGGGTCCCAAGGTTTTGTTTGTCACAAATGTGGTGAAAAATTTAAAAAGTTGGAAGCCATAGAAGCACATCATCTGTCCAGGCATGCTGGTAAAGTTCATTAACCCATGTATGTACATTTAAATGCATTTTTCTTGTGTTAATCAGGATGATACATTCACAGTACCTAAACAGCCAAACCTTTTCTTTGATATGTTTCTGCTTTCTTGATCTGTTAATCTTGACAATCATCTCATATGTGCAGTAACTGCACTTTCTGAAGGAGACTCCTCCAAGAAAATTGTGGAATTAATTTGCCAAACAAGTTTTTTGGAGTCTGAAACTAAATTTGGTCCGATAGAAAGGATATTGAAGGTTCACAACATGCAAAGAAGTCTTGCTCAGTTTGAAGATTATAGAGAAATGGTAAAGATCAAGGCTAGCAAACTATCCAAGAAACATGCACGGTGCCTGGCTGATGGAAATGAGCTTTTGAGGTTCTATGGCACTACTGTTGCATGCTCCATCGGCATGAAAAACACATCAAGCCTATGCACATTAGAGAAATGCGGCATATGTCAAATTCTAAGGCATGGATTCTCCACCATGAAGAAATTCAATGGTTTCCGGAGTGTTTTTACTTCTTCCTCGGGTAAAAGAGCTTTAGAGTGTATTGAGCCTGATGAAGAGAACCGATGTCTAAGAAAGGCTCTGGTAGTGTGCAGGGTAATTGCTGGGAGGGTTCATAAACCTTTAGAAAAGGTGCAAGAAATGGCAAGTCAATCAAGCTTTGATTCACTGGCAGGAAACTTTGATAGCCATCCGAATATTGAGGAACTCTATTCACTGAATCCTAGAGCTCTCTTCCCTTGTTTTGTGGTCATCTGCAAACCCTCAAAGCAAAGTGCTCAAAAATTATAACTTAGGACCACATTTCTTTTCATTGTGATTGTGAGGTCTAATGTCTTATCCAACCTTCTCTGTAATTATTTGTTCTTATAGTAAATATATCTTCTCGTTCTGCAAGGTATTTGTTCTCTCAAAACTTCATCTTGAGCAGCTATGAGATTGCATCAATATGCATAGAGCTTTAGCTAGTCTAGCTGCTTGATGTTTCTGACCAGCCTTCTCTTGCACCGCACCCTCATTCTCTCCCCCTATTTTTCTAGTGAAACTGCCTCGAGGATTGAATTCTGTTCTGCAGATAAATCAATTTGACCATCAATCAATGCTCCTATCCATTAATTCTGGTTGCTTATATCCTTTTTAGACAAATGTAATTAATAACATAAACCCTAGCACTGAATCTGTTAAGTCTAATTTGAATTCAATCCTGAAAGTGCACTGATCCTGCTATGCGTGGTCTAATCGTTAACAACATAGTCCCCTCTTCTTTCTGTCTGCACTGTCTTGTCACTACTATGTCTCTTCTTGGACTCAGATCTAATCCCGATTCTGGGTTTTGATAATAAGGGTTGCTTACAGATACGAGTTAGGGGTACAGCTCTATTCGGGAAGGGGAAGGGAAACTTCTTACTATGTACTTAACAAAGATCATCAGGAGATCTCCGGGTGTCCTTTGATCCTCCTATGGAGTTAATCTTGTGTTTCCTCCATTAAACAAATGAAAATAAATAAATAAATAAATTAAGGATTCCTAGCAACTGTTCTCTGTTGCTTGCCTATAACTGATATTGTGAATCATAAGGAGTAAAACCACCTAACCACAGGCCCACGTGAGGCATCATTTGGAGCAAGTTGAGGTTTGGCCAGCTACCCCGCTTTTGCCTTCTAAAGATTTTAACTTGACATCAGGTGAACCTTCACCTCCAACACTTCAGCAAACTTCATCTATTGTTTTTCTGCACCACTGCATGTCCTGTATGATATCCAAAAAACAACTCCCCCTTTCTGACATACAATATATTTTGTGCTGGAAATCTGATTATCGCTTATGATCATTACTGGGAGATGCAAAGCTCCAAAACTTCACCTAAATGCTTTTGTGTGCCTCTTCTAAAGCCCATACTTTCTTAGTAAAACAATGTGGATGCAAGAACCCTTTTTGGGAATACTTTTCCAAAGTGAAAAAAAAAAGTTATTAAATTATGGCTTAATTCAATCAAAATTCCTCAATGGACCATAGAACAATTTTAGTAACTAGAGCAGTTGATAAATACTCAACCCATGTATTATTATTTAATGGTTTTCTCATAGAACAATTTTTTAAGAAGGAGAACGCAAGCAATAAACTCTACATTTAGGCTACATTTATCAATCGAATACAAAACTATATTTTGGTAGGGTTCACTGTTAAACCTAGTCATTACCAATAGAAGCAATGAGAGAAAATGAATTTCTAGCGAAAAAGAAACTCGTGGGTACTGACCGGCTACCACATGTAGTGGCAGTTTGGGTAGTCGAGTCACACCACCAATGGTTTGAAAGACTTTTTGAATCGTTAGTAAGCACAATGGCACGTGCTCACCTTCTCCATCTAAAAGTCTAGTCATGCCCTGGGTAAGTGCCCATCGTCTATAAAACGATAATGCAATAAGTTTATTCCACCTGTGTATCTTTGTCTGAACGGTTGAAGCGTTCAAAACAAGCCCAAAAACCCGAAACGGAAAAGCACAAGTAAGATACCCAGTAAAGAAAAGGAATATAGTCATTGAAGCCATGGCCAGCCAGATCGTAGGCAAAAAGACGGCTTGTGTCGTAGGTGGCACCGGATACGTTGCATCTTTGTTGGTCAAGCTGTTGCTTGAGAAGGGCTATGCTGTTAACACTACTGTCAGGGACCCAGGTTGATCTTCTCTTCTTCTTCATCTTCTTCTGTTTTTCTTGTTCATTTGTTTCTACTGCTTTGCTTCGGTGGGTCATCCCAGTATTTTACTTTCTTCCCCTTCCTTGGTTTTTTTTGTTTTGATATATAATATATTGGTGTGGTTGCTGCTGCAATTTAGGAAATACTACGATTTATGCCCCCAGTGTAGCATTAGTACTTTGTTCTTTGTTATTTCACTTTACGCTTAAACTATAAATTCCTACCTATTCTGTATCGAGCATGTTGGAAGTTAATAAGCGAAAACAACCGAGGAACATACGGCCTTGTCTTGTCAGTTGGTGTTTTTCAGGGGGTAATCAGACATGAGACAACCGCCCACGATATTCATTTCCTGACCAGGAGAGAAAACTATCAATTCCTTGGGTTTGAGTTCACCCCTCTCGAAGAGTTCCTTACCAAATTAATCACATTTTTTGCAGATATAGCGTAATGAGTAGAATCTTTTTTTTTTTTGGTTTATTTTCATTTTCTGGCAACACCCAGAGTAGGTAAACATGAATGGGTGTAATGCTGTGACTTTTCTGCAGACAATCAGAAGAAGATCCCTCACCTCGTAACACTACAAAAGCTGGGAGACTTGAAAATCTTTCGAGCAGATTTGACTGATGAAGGCAGCTTTGATGTCCCCATAGCTGGTTGTGACTTTGTCTTCCATGTTGCAACACCCGTCAATTTTGCTTCTCAAGATCCTGAGGTATGTAAAACCATTAAACTGCTTTTCCAGTGATGATCAAATTCCTTCTGGTTTTGAGGAATGATGACAAGGTTTACTTTTATTGGATTTTGATTATAGAATGACATGATCAAACCAGCAACCCAGGGAGTGCTGAACGTTCTGAAAGCTTCTGCCAAAGCAAAAACAGTCAAACGCGTCGTCTTGACTTCTTCAGCCGCAGCTGTGTCGATCAACACACTCGAGGGGACAGGTCTGGTCCTGACTGAGAAAGACTGGACCGACATTGAGTTCTTATCGTCGGCAAAGCCACCAACTTGGGTAACAATTTTCATGCTAATCCATTTCTCTTTCTCTTATCATCGGGGGAATTGCAGAAGAGGGCAAAGAAACAAAAATAATTGGTGTGCATAATCTGAAGTAAGCTTTTATCCATGAGTGCAGGGGTACCCTGCATCCAAGACATTGGCTGAAAAGGCAGCATGGAAATTTGCTCAAGAAAACAACATCGATCTTATCACGGTTATCCCTTCTCTCATGACCGGTCCTTCTCTCACTCCAGATGTGCCTAGTAGCATTGGCCTTGCCACATCTTTGCTTTCAGGTATTAAGTTAGAACCTCGTGTCCTGGCCTTGTTTCTAGATGTAAAACTGATGGATAAAGAAGTAGCCTGGAGCACCATGAGCTATAACTGATGGGAATTTTAACATTTTTGCAGGCAACGAATTCCTCATAAATGCTTTGAAAGGTATGCAAATGTTGTCAGGTTCAATCTCTATCACACATGTGGAGGACGTCTGTCGGGCCCATGTTTTTCTGGCAGAAAAAGAATCTGCATCCGGCCGGTATATATGCTGTGCTGTCAATTCGAGTGTTCCTGAGCTTGCTAAGTTCCTCAACCAAAGATACCCTCAGTTCAAAGTCTCTACCGAGTAAGCCAACCTGCATTCAATATCACAATCTAAACTTCTCTTCTTTTCCGCTAGAGTTGTGGTTAATCTTAGTTTTGTTTACTTTGTTACAATTGCAGTTTTGGAGATTTCCCCTCTAAAGCCAAGTTGATCATTTCTTCGGATAAGCTTATTAATGAAGGATACAGCTTTAAGTTTGGGATTGAGGAAATCTACGACCAAACTGTAGAATACATGAGCGCTAAGGGGCTGCTCAAGTGAAGAGTCCGCCAACATTTTCCCTAATGACTGTGATGTTTGGTTGCTTAAGATGTATGCTGTCTTTTGTTATATTATCCGAATAACTTGATGTTCTGCAAATCAAGCAAATACCGTATGGTGAATATCATTTGCTTTCCCAAAAGAAAAAGAAAAAAAAAATGAAATCCAAAGCATCCTATTTAGTATTGGAAGAACAAAAATCAAATCACCAACTGAATCATGGAATGGGTTCTTGTGGACTTAACAAATGACTATCATACTTTCCTTCTGCATCCAATTCTTTAACGTTCAGTTAAAGAAGGATCAACAGTCCCTTGTAGATCCAGTTCGAAAGTAGGTTCCTCTGCTTTAGCAGGGTGGTTTTGCCCATAATGCACCCTTGAGTTTCTTGGCTTGTGGATCTCGGACAATGCCAGCACGATGTCCCTCATTAAGGGCCTTTTCCTGGAGACAGGATTGATACAATTATAGGCAAGGGCAGCCATACGATTCAGTTTTTGAACATCAAATTTTCCTTGAAGTCGAGGATCTGCAATCTCTTCCCACCCTACATCGTTTTCCACATCAATAGCCGCCTATTCATGGTCACAGAAATAAAAAAATGACATTGAATCATTCATATTTTGTGCATGCATTGGCACTCAAAATCAGGTGAGTAAAGAGCAGAAGGGCTTTAACACACAGATCTTACAAGCTCCACATACTCCATGAGACCGTGTTGTGGGTTTTTGCCACTCATTATCTCAAAAAGTAGCGCCCCAAAACTATAAACATCACTTCTCTTAGTAAAGATCAACGTAGACATATACTCAGGATCAACATATCCGAAAGTTCCCTTGACATTAGATGAGTGCAAGTTAGCCTTCTCCTGCCTTGAAAGTCCAAAATCAGCAACCTGTAGAGTTTGACAGCTGAATATTTTAAGCCTCGGAGCAAGGGAGAGGTGGGAAAAATGAACCATCGCTGCTGAAAATCTGAACGCTTACTCTGGCTTTCATCGAGCGGTCCAACAATATATTTGAGGATTTGATGTCGCGGTGCACAACAGGAGGAACAGCCTGTTAGACAATAAACGAGCTGAATACCAAGTATACACCTCTTTTAAAAAATTTTACCAGTTGCTTCTACTTGTTCAGTGACTGAGTCTGAAACTTACCCCATGATGAAGATACTCCAAACCCCTTGCCACGTCTAGAGCTATCCGAACCCTTAAATCCCAGCTCAAAGGCTCATGCCTTTCATCTGCAATTCAAACATGATAGTACGTTTTGCACCGTCGTACAACAGTATGGATTATAAAGCTGTTTCTTGCGCAATGAAATTGCTGATGGCAATCAAAACCATTGAACTTGCAGGATAATTAATCATCTGATTATCTTTCAAAAAAAAAAAAATTCATCTGATGAACTATTTGCTAACCTTATAAAATTATATGGAAATGTGGCTTCAATCAAGAAACGTTTCAGATAAGAAACAACTACAAAAGTCCAATTCCTATTCTATTTGTATTTCAAGATAAAGTTATGCTTGTTTAAGATCAATCTTGCATGGAGTTAATATGTGTTTCTTACTGTATAAATGGGATGCAAGACTTCCATTGCTCATGTAAACATAAACAAACATATGTTCTCCTCTTTCTGCACTATATCCCACCAAGTTCACCAGATTCCTGTGGTGTAATCTTCCAAGTAACAGAACCTGGGAACAAAAGCAACAAAAACAATGACGTGTGCAAAGTCACTTTTACTTTCAATTTTTACCTTCTCTTTTTCCCCTTTGTGGGATAGAGAAAGGATGTTGAAGATGAAATAGAAACCGAAACAGAACAAAGCGGCACATTTTGCCACTGGCAGCATAAGATCTCAAGTTTATAAAGCATTTGGGTTTAGACATTCTACTCCGTTACAACACATTTGGTTTTAGTCACTTTGCTTTCAATTTGTTTTGATGGGTTGCTTGTTTAGTTTCACATGTGATATTTTGCATGGAGAAGTTTCAAGGAATTGAAGCAGGCTGCCTGCTAGAAGATGGATGCGTGAATGCTATCAGGGCTTTTGAAATAGGGAATGATTCCTAAATTGACAAGCTCAGGCCAAGGGACGTCCACCACGATCCTTTTCTTACCCGAATTGATAATCAAGGCAGTATGCTTGGGTTATAGTTTCCTTTGTGTAATTTGTTGTATCTTTGGATTTTTTTTTTTTTGTCTTTGTGTGGTTTTGATGTATGTTTTGGCATCAGGTTTTGAATTAGTTGACAATTTGATGAATGGGTAGTTATATGTAGATTAGGATTTGTTGATTATTTGATGATTGGGATAGATATGTGTTTGCTCAGTCTCAATTTCCTCTTGATAACGTTTTTATGTTTCCTTTTGTAAGTATGTTACTCTTTTTTCTTTTCATAGCTTGACTTCTTATACTATTAAAAATCTTTTGTTTATAAGATTCAAGACTTGTTATAATATGTAAGTTTTTAAAATTAATAAAATTTTTAGTTTTTTTAAAAAAAATACCAAAACTTCTGTACTTTACTCCAGTGCTAGAGGCCAATGCGCCGAACTATATAGACTTGGAATAGTCAGTTGTGGCTTCAAATTGGGTACTAATGTTATAAAACAACTGATTTTTGGAATAACTCAAAGATTCCGGTGTTGAAATGACTTTAGAGGGGATTAATATCTTTTCTAGTTGAATTGGTGTCTGTTTTGCAATTGTTGCTTTAAACTTAGACCAATAGTTGCTTAATAGAAACGAAATGGTCTTTGACAGGATAACCTGAGACGCTTGTAAGGTGCTGGATATTATCAAAATCAGTGTTGCTTGGTCGGTTAAGTCCAAATGACCCCGCGATAATTTGGATACTATTGACATCGTGAGATTCCCAAACCTTGCTGCTGTTGCAGTTAAAAAAGACAGGTCTAAGGTCCAGGTGCAACGAAAGGAACCTCTAGATGGGTGGCTAAAATTTAACACGGATGGGGCTGCTAGGGGCCGTCCAGGTCCTCTTGGCACTGGAGGTGTGCTTAGGAATGAAAAAGGTACTGTGAAAATCCTTTTTTCAAAAACAAGGGGTTGGGATGATGCAAATCTTGCGGAAATGCTAGCTATTCGTGAGGCTTTAACCCTCTTTGTGATAGCTGACTGGTGTCATCCTTATGGTTTAATCATTGAGACTGATTCTATAAATGCTGCCACTTGGTTTCAAAACCACTTTCCTCTCCCTGGCGCCTTAGGAATTCGGTGTTTAAAGTCAAGGCTCTACTGGGTAAGATTCCCAGAAGGCAAATCATCCATACCCCGAGATCCGGAAACGATTAGGCGGACAGCCTTGCCAAATTGAGGGTGGAGAGAGTCACGGATCTGCTGCAAGTTTTGCCTTAATTTTCATGTTTTGTTTATGTCTGTTTTTCTTGATTTTTCTCTGGGTGGGCTGTCTTTTCTATGGCTTCAGAATCTTGATGTGTGTGTACAGTGGATGTTTATGTGGTTGTGGACCGGTGGTCGTGTGGGGCTTGTGGGAAATAAGAGGTTGTTGGTCTATATAAATCTGGGAGCGAATTTAGATGTTCTGGAGACTTTACTTGTTTTAGCAAGAGAAGGAAACAGGCATGCTGGTTGTGTTTCCTTGTCTGACTAGCTTGTATCATTTAATTTTGTGTTGGTGAAACGGGTGTAGGCTTAGAGGGTTAACTGTGAATATAAAGGTGAATCTTTTGTTTGAAGGGCTGGGTTGGTTACTGGATATTTTGTCTTACCAGTCTTTGACTCCCCATTTGTTTGTACATGGATACCCTATCTTTTACGAATGAACTCCAACATTCAAAAAAAAAATATTGTTGTAAAGTTATTTTCTGTATTAGCAGGCCATCCCCTGGTGTTGAGTCTGTTGGTTCTCTTCATGACCATAATTGCTGTTGTATTCATGGAAAAGCATTTTTTAGTTTGGCAGACATGATTAAGGTCTAGATTGGCATTATGAATTAATGTGAAATCAATAAATCAAGATGGATATAGAACTAAAACGTGGATGGGCATTCGGGTTCTATGGTTCTACGTACCTTCCACTGCCACTATTTCTTGATTTCTTTCTAGTTCTTTTATGGAAGATAATAGGCCAAAGGGGGCAATTGTTTTTTTGTTTTTTTCATTTAAGAAACTAATAAGGGTATTTTATCTTTTTGAATTGAAATTATTGTCAAAACATGTTGAGAGTTTGTCAAAAGCAACTTTTGAACTCAAAAGCTACTTTCAACCTCAATGCCAAACGGGACCTAAAACTAGTGGCAACTGGCTGTCACACACTTGTCAATGTGTATGAATTTATCATCAATGGAGCCATAGGACTTGAAAGTTGAAAACCTAACATTCATAAATGAACTTGACATACAAAAACTTGCAATGTATAATGCATTATTACCTCTGATAGAAACTCCATTGCCCCTTGCCTGGAATCATTAGCAAGCACTTTGACAGCAACTGTCTGACCAGTTTTCATTTGAGCTTTGAAGACAGGACCAAATGCCCCATGGCCTATTTTTGTTGTGAAATCATAGGTCGCTCTCTCTAGCTCTCTGTAAAACAGTTCATGCTATCAATTTCATTGATTTCCTTAACAGCAAATGTCATGCCATTGCTTTAACATACATTGTTCAACGAAGACCTGATTTACAGTTAATCCAAGTGCAGAAATCAGGAACGTGGAAAAATCACTGGATTGCTATCAACTTACCTGTAAGAGTACTTTGGTATGCCACATGCGGATGCCACGCTCTTCCTCTTGAGCCCTTCCAGCCACTGGGGCATGTTACTCCATTCTGATGTTCTAGGGGATTCTTGACCGAGGTGGGAATCTGACAGTATCGTGCTGGAATCTGCCCCATGAACACGGATGGGGATTGTTTCTGCCCTCGGAGAGACTTTATCCTCATCATGACAAGGATCAGAACCCTTCCTTCGGTACCTAATGCAGCAAATAACAGACAGGGCCAAAACCACACCAATAACAACTCCAGCGCTGATACCAAAAACGAGTCCCCTTTGGAAATTTCTCATTTCTTTCAACCTGACAGACTTGGTTTCCTACGCTAGCATTGAGTACATAGCGGGCCTGTAAAAATATAATGTCATGAGTTGATCCCTCCACCCATATTTACAATATCTATGACAATTGAATAGATTTGTATAACAGTTGATATGTTGTACCAAAAGGTTCAATCTCAACTCTCAAGAAACAATGCTTACACCAAGAAAGAATTAGCTTGAATATTTTACCCAGATAGGAAATTTGCTTGCACAAACCTGGTTTCTTCAGCCAATGAGTTTTTTCTTGGGGGAGAAATTATTCGATTAAAGGCCGTGGGAGTTGAACTTTCAGACGTGGGGAACAGAATAGTTTAAGATTTCACTTGAAATCCACCTTTTCTATTTTCTTTTCTCTAGATTCCTTTTTCAACAAAGTCTGACTATCCTGGCAAAAGAATACATCAAAATCTGATTTATGTGATTTGCAGAACAAATCAAACGCCAAGAAAATGAATCCTTCGAATATAATTGAACCAACAAAAACAAGAAAAATTAACAAGGCATGAAATCTTTGTTAATTAAGTAAACATCACAAGGAATTGGCCACAAGACAAAAATACCATGTAATTAAGAATGATACTAGTGATCAAGGAAAGGGTCCAAGCAAGCATGTCCTATTCTAAAAGTCTTGCTTATCGTATAGAAAACAATCGATGGAGAACATGTAACATATACTCAAATCCATTTTTTTTAGAATTTTAGAACATGTGTAAGATGCTTTCACATATTTTTAGCAATGGCTGCGATACCAAAAGCCAAGGAAAACAATACTGTTAGAAAAAAAAAAAAAAACCTCCCCATCAAGTATGAATTTAAACGTGCATGTGAAACACAGTACGAGGAGAGTTGCCTTCCTTTGTAAGTAGATTTCATATTCATACCTAAGAAACACGATTTGATGAGACTTGTCTGCAGACAAGAGTCAGCATCCCTATTGGCATTGGTCCCAGAGCAGTTCCGTGTAGAGTTGAAAGCTCTTGATAACAACTTATAAAGAAATAGACATAAAAAAAGAAGTAGAAATATTGATCAAGGAAAGTAAAAAATGAAATTGAAATTAATTCGTTTCCTTATTGGGATGGTTGGTGAGGTGAGGAAATGGAATGGACAAAATCTTTTTCATTTGGTAAGTTGTTGAAGGAGGAAAGTAAATCAACAAATTCTTTTACTTTATTGTTCCCACTATTATTTACATCAAGAAATCAATAATTATAAATATATATATATATATATTTTATTTATTTTAATATTAGCAATTATTTGGAGGTGTCAATTTAATTAGTTTGAGTAGAAAAATTGGACTTTATGATTGATAAAGTAAAGAAAAATTTATTTAATAATGTTTTATATATAAATCATCTCATGTCGTTATTTAATCATATATATATATAATAAAAAATTGTTCTTATTTTAGACGTGTGTTTATTTTTATTAAGTCATTTTCATATTAAGTTGCCAAATGAATTCTTTGCTACGGTTCCATGTTTTGCTGCACACATGTATGCTGGTAAACCGAGCATTTGTACTCTACTTGTACCCTTCACTGTCTTTGTGCAGATTATTAATGAATACCACTTTTATGACTGAGAAAAAAAATCTAATTTAACGAGGATTTGATTAATAAAATGCGTTGAATAATGGCAATGCATGCATGTGGGAGGTAGAGGATTTCTAATATAAGCAATTACTAGGAGGTGTCAACAATTAATTTGGGCTGAAAAGTTGGACAAGTCAAATTTCGATTTGTATGTTTAATATCGATTTTAATTACGTATTGTATTTTGATTTATTAATTGTATGATCAATAACGTCCAGAAAATTTTATTTAATAATGTTTTATGTATAAATCATTTTATATCTCTATTTAATTATATATATTTATATAATAAAAGGTACACCTTGTCTTAAATGTGCCGTTGTTTGCTAAATCACCAAGATATTTGCTTTAAAAATTTTCTCAATTTAGCAAAGAAATTATAAATTGTACAAGTGCTCATGAATAATACAGCGATAAGAAAGTATCGTTTCCCAAAAGAGTTGGTTTAATAATAATTTTTTGTTGGCTCAGCCAGACATATATATATATATTGATAAGAAAAGATAAATGCATGAAAGTAAGTAATTAGTGCTCGTGGCAGAAGAGCTCTGAGAAAAGCCAAGGGCATGGCTTGAAAGCAGCATTACATGAAAGACCGGCAGAAAACAGCAAAACAAGAGCCTAAATAAACAGGGAGAATGAAGTCTAAATGACATGGAGACGTTTGATGGCGCAGAATCAAAGGTGGGGGCAACTGGGAGTAGAACAAATCCGTTGATGTAGCAATTCAGAGAGAAACAGCAGTGGTATTAACCATAACAGGACCACATGAGGCAGAGTCGAATAAGGGGAGAGGATTGTGCCAATGTTAGGGCCCTCATAGAACACTAGAGCAGAAACAGCATCATCTCAGAGACAGATTCATCGTAACAGCAAATTAAGAAAAAGACAGCAAAGTTCCCTAATCACAACAGGCTCAACAAAACAGTTGGAGAATCAATTGCAACAGTAAGGGAAAAAGGATGCCATGAAGAAGGAAATATTTCATCTTCATAACAAAAGGCAGACTTGCCTTCGCCACATTAAAGAAGTGCAAAGAAATAATGAGCAGGGGCTTTAATAATTGTTACTAAGTATTGACAGTAAAACAAATTAATTTTATCCAAGCAAATCAAAATTTAAGAATTAAAAATAAAACTTAAACTTAACCATTTGAAATTAGACTAAAGATTGCAAGTAGAATTCAATGAATATGCAATGGACTAAAGTCTAGGATCATGATTTCATTCCATATTTCACTTTGATTATTATTTCTCTAAGTACTTAATTCAACGGGGTTGATGCCAATTTAGAATCCTAATGCTTGTACAGTCTTATGTCTAGGTGTTTGTAGAAATGCTTAAATTAATTGGGTTTCTACAAATGTACAAGATTCAATTAAATTAGGTTCTTTAAGCACAATTTCTACTTAGACTATATGTGACATTTAGGTATATATTTACCCTAATTGCTAATTAAGGCACTTAACTTTTAAGTGATATGAACACATATTATCCAAACCTAGGTCTAATCTAAACTAACTTTGTCAAGCTTCATTTAGATACCGCACCCATTGAATTGGTGATCAAGCAATTTTTGATTTGAATAAACATCAACATATCTATTCAAAAAAAGTAAAAGAGGAACAATAAATCCAAGTTACATGTAGAAATCCATCAAAATCCTAAATAAAAGCTATTTAGCTCATTATATTTGCACCAAAGTTTAATATTCTCATAACATAAATCATTTCTACACTAAGGGGTAGAGGGAGAAAGATAAAACTAGTGAGAAAAAATGAGTTGATGCAGCTGATTGGACTTCAATCTTCCTTGATTTCTCTCTTTATCGTTTTATAAAAAGTTTTCTTTTTTTTAAAAAAAAGTTCTCTACCTCCAGCCCTTTTTCTAAATTAAAAAGCTATCTTTTATACCTTATCATAACCATTTGATGAAAAAAATCGAAGGTTGAGATGTCATTAAATCCGTGTTGGCGCGTCAAACCGTTTGTTTAACATAATGTTGAGGCTCGTTTGCGTTGTGGTACCAAGCTTTCTATCTAGATGCTTGTTTGGCGTTGGATGCCAAACTCTTTAACTTGTGTGGAGAACATGTATTTTTAGCTCTTTAATGTAGAATTGTTGCGATTCGGCTACTTCTAATATGATTTTGATCACGTTCTGACCTGAATTAGTCAAGTAGTAAACATGAAAGTGTAGGGTTTACTTCTAATGTGGCCCTTTAAAAAAAAAATTATAAAATTTACTTAAGAGAGGGCCGAAACATGATTTATCCTAAGTTAAACAAGGCGCTCATAATCATAAGCGATAAGCGCAGAGTTGCTAGCCCCATAAAATTCATTCATCATCACTCGCCGATGTCATACAACTTTCGTCAGTAATTGGACTCTGATCATTCAGGACAAAACCGTGCGAATAACATAGAAGACTTGGTAGCAATTTTTAGGCGACGACTCTATGGGATTACTTCTTTTAAAGTTAAACCAGTTAAGGTGACAATTGCCTGCCATTAGAGCATCCAAATTAGAACATGTTCAAGACAGATGCTGCTCCTTGTCGAGGAAACGGACCATGTATTTCTCTTTTGCTGCACATGATCTGCATTTTAGTTAGGACTCTTCAAGGTTCAATGGATGCATTTATGTATCTTCACGCTTTACATACAGAAGAAAACGAAAGGTCAAGGCTCTTCAAGCCACAAGGTCATCCTCTCTTGGTTTAACCAAGATGTTTTTTCCTAGACGCATTCGGGAAGAAGCAGGCTACAAGCTGAGAGGGGAGTGACTAGTGAGGGACCAATCGTTGCTTACCCAGTACTAGTTTTACACGGAGTCCAGTCAGAGTGATTCACGTGGGAGGCGCACTGTAGAATTTACGTCACTGCATGCATCCACCTATCGTTGAATGCTGATGGCTAATATGTGGTTCTGGAATGAATCAGGATTCTGAAACTGGCCATTTGACACCCTGTCAACCAACCACACAAAGGATGTGACAGTTTTGCTCTCATGCGACTATCTTTCGTTTGAGACTTACCGCTAACAAAAATTCAAGGTGAGGAAAGAATACCCTTGATGTATATGGACTAATTTTGTCTAGGGGTCATCTAATATGCTGAATTAATTACTATTTTCTTTGTGCTTCTCTGCTGTATCAGATAAAAAGAAAAAGAAAGTGTAGTGCTTTATCAGGGATTACAGGGGTTCCCATTGATTTGGAATATGGAAGTATGCATAGGAGTAATACAATTGATGAAAGTTTATTTAGTTAACTGCACCCACCAGGGTAATTTCCAACCATGAACACTAGAGCTCAACAATTTCTAAATTCGAGAAAGTTCTACTACTGCTACTTACAACTTATTACTGTGGGTCCTGTAGGGGAAGGATCACTTATTTCAAAAACATCATGAACTTTTGCAGCACAAGGAAATTGTGGGTACTTGGATAGGTTCATTATGTTGAAGGTGCATATATTTTCATTGTAGATGTGGAGCCGGTGTTTGGTTTCCATACGCTTTTTCCTTCTATACTGACCAATAGTCTGTCGAGACTCAAGATGTGGCTTAGAATGTTCAGATTCCAAATTCTTTTACTCCCCAAGTAGCTTTAAGAAGTAAAGGTTAATGTAATGAGAAAGAGTTGGTGTTGACATTGATGCTTGGTGCCTTTGCTGTTAAGAGTGTGTAAACCGTTATTTTGATTAATTTGATTTTGGATATCTAATAATTAAATTAATCAAATTTATATTTAAAAATAATCAAAATTAAATTGAATTATATAAATAATCGAACTAACCGAAATTGAATTAATTCTGTTAGTTCGGTTCGGTTTTCAAAAAATAAACTTGATAAATTTTTTACTTTTTTGTATCTATTTATTTATGTTGTATTTTTTTAATAAATTAATGTTACAAAATATTAAAAATGATAATAAAAAATTATAATAAATAAGATGGATACTCATATAATTAAAGAAGAACTAGAAGAGATTAGGTTTAGGATTTATTTTTCATGCAAAATCTCCATAATATACTCACTTAAGTTTTGGTTAATTCGGTTAGAAATTTTTCTAATCGAAACTGAACCAAATTAATTTTAATAACCGAACTATTTTAACTAATCTATCCAAAGAATAGAATTAACCAAACCAAAAAAGCCGAACTTATTTTGGTTTGGTTCACATTTGCTCATCCATATTAGCTGCCTATAAATAGGGCACAAACTTTGGCCAAATAGGTCATAACTTCCTATTCTATTCTGCAAGCTCATTTTATCAACCCAAAAATCCTCAGCATTTATCCCAACTCACAAAGTGATCGCCATGGATTACAGTACTCACCAATTGCTGGCAGAGCAGCAGGTTCAATATTATCAATTGAAGTCAGAAGCCTTTGATGAGATACAACAACGGCGATCCGCAAATTATAAGCCAAACATTTGGAAATATGATTTTTTACAGTCCCTTCGTAGCAAATATGATGTGAGATTTCCAATTCTAGTCTATCTCTCACTCTATTTCTCTCTTTATTATAAACCATTTCGTCTCGTTTTTGTAGCAGCGCATGTCTATGTCACCTGAACCCCCTCTTCTAAATCATTAAGGAATTACAAGGAACTGTCAAAGCTAACCTATTTTACATGAATGAATTCATAAAAGGCGATGTATGGCCACATTGGACAAGATTGGTCTTTGTGATATCAGAAATATGTATTGTCTTACTTAAAGAACTAAACAAACAAAGCCACGCTATGAATAACTGAAAATTTGAAACCTTTTGCAGGGTGATGAATACAGGAGAAGGGCAGAGAAGTCGAGAGAGAAGGGGAAGGACATGTTTGTCAAAGCAGTGGAAGAATTAGCCAAACTGGAGCTGATTGACATGATCAGAAAACTAGGCCTGGCCGACCTCTTTGCGGAGGAAATGCAGAAGGCTTTACAAGCAGTAGCATCTTCCAAGAACAGCAAAAATAGTGAAGCAGAAGAAGACCTCTACATAACAGCGCTACGCTTCAGAATCCTGAGGCTGCATGGCTACGAGGTTTTACAAGGCATGAATCTAATAACTCTTGTGTATTATTCTCATCCTTTGAAATCCATTTTTCTATGATCTAACTCTCTCAAATCTGTGGTTAATTACGTGTTTAGACGTGTTCAATGCCTTCTTGGATGACAAGGGTAAATTCTCAAAATGCAAATCCACAGAGATCAAAGGACTGCTTGAACTTTTTGAGGCCTCATATCTAGCTTTCGAAGGAGAAAGCATCTTGGATGACGCTAAAACATTCGCAACAGAAACTCTCAGGAATATTTATTCTACTTTGGATAGCGACTTAGCCAAGGAAGTAGCCCATGCTTTGGAGCTTTCGAAACATTGGAGGGTAAAGTGGTTTGATGTCAAATGGCACATCACCATGTACGAGAACAGTAAAAACATAGACGAAACTTTACTTGAATTGGCAAAACTCAATTTTAATACAGTCCAAGCCACGCTTCAGAAAGATCTCAGCGACATTTCTAGGTGACAAACCATGAAATAAACCCCCATACAAACTTTTATGTCAAGTTTACCGTGAAATTAACAAATCAAACGTGTTTGATCTTTCAGGTGGTGGCAGAATCTGGCGCTAATGGAACATTTAGACTTCACAAGGGATCGACTGGCTGAAAGCTTCTTGTGTGCAGTTGGACTTGCTTATGAGCCTGGATATAGTTGTTTCAGAAAATGCCTCACTAAGATCACAACTATGATACTGATAATAGATGATGTTTACGACGTTTATGGTTCCCTGGAAGAGCTAGAGCAATTCACCGACGCCGTTGATAGGTATAGTACATGCATTTTATGTGACTGTGTGCATGCAGGTAGGCATGTAGGCCATGTTAGTAAAAAACATCCTCTAATACGATCTTGAATTCAGTTGGGACACAAGCAAAATTCAGCAACTACCGGAGTCCATGAAGATTTGCTTCCAAGCTCTATATGATATTACTAATGAAATTGCTTATGACATCCAAGAGCACAATGATCGGGATGTCCAAGCATTGCTTCATCTGAGGAAAGCGGTACTAAAAAATGCATTGATTTTCATCCACTATTTTCTGCTTTATCCTTTTTTTTTTAATTAGATCCACCTGGCAACGAATATGTTGTAAAGCAGTGAAAAGTATGTTTCATTTTCAGTGGGCGGGATTCTGTAAAGCGCTATTTGTGGAATCAAAGTGGTACAACGAGGGTTATTGCCCTTCCCTTCAAGAGTATCTGAGCAATGCATTGATTTCATCAGGAGGCACTGTGATTTCTGTCCACTCAATGCTTTCTGTGGAGCATAACATAGCAGACGAAATGGTCAACCTGTTGGGCAAAAATCAAGATCTTGTTCACAATGTATCCATCATAATTCGACTTTGCAACGACTTGGGGACTTCAGCGGTAATTGCCGATTCCTTTACCAAAAGAGAAACAGGAAAAAACCTACCGGAATATAATTCATATTATTCAATGAATGACTTAATTTCCAACAGGCAGAGAACGAGAGAGGCGATGCTCCATCATCAATCCTGTGCTACATGCGAGAAGTGGATGTTTCGGAGGAAGAAGCTCAGGAGCATATCAAGGACACGATAACCAGCACATGGAAGAAAATCAATGGCCAATGCTTGAGCACTCCATCACCTTTGCTGCAATCCTTTGTCAAAGTTACCGCTAATGTTGCGCGCATGGTGCATTGCCTCTACCAATTTGGAGATGGATTTGGCATCCAGGACCTCGAGACCCGAAGGCACATCCTTTCTCTCCTGATCGAGCCTTTCAAGCTTGATTAGCTTGGAGGCTTGATCAGACGTCAAAATCATGCAAATTGAAAAATCTTGCACCAATTAATTAATGAAGAAAGCAGCCTGCAAGGACAAAATAAACTTGAGAAGCCCTGTGCTCCACCAGTCAAAATTAAGATTCCTCGTACTATTTCACAACTTATTTTGGGTGAGGATTGTTGTCCCATCTCTAGCCAAGGCACCACCACAAGGGTTACTGTCTATGTATAGGAATAGGACAATAGTTGCTGGTGATTGTTTAAAACATGGAACAACAAGGTTTTTTCCTTTTTTTTTCTTCTGTCAGTTGCAATCACATTCCTATATATGTTACGTATCTGTTTTTAGTTCTCATTCATGTACTGTCCCGTCAAAAATGGCATAAAAAAAAAGTAAATTAGATTAAATAATATCATCTTGTCTTGTATATAAAATATTTTTATCTTTGTATAAATAAAATACAAATTGATTTTTTGCTTGATATTTGGTCATATCCATATCAAATCTCACACTCTTTAAATAAAAATATCACATACTAATTAATAAGTCAAATATTCGAATGCCGATAATATTTTTAGATGATGATTAAAGTAACTAGTCTTAATAGAAGGAAAAAAAAAACTGAGAGAAGACTGAAAGAAACAAAAGAGTTGAGGATACATTAAAATCTAAAACATACGACCCTAAGCACCTAGTTCAATAACAAAAAAATTAGTTAAGGTAAACTTACTAAGTTAGGTATTAATAAAGCCTAAAATCTTTAATCTCAAGGAACTACACTTGTTTTGTCTGTTGGATTTATATCCTTTATTGTCCCTTCCAACTAGAGTTTTTCCTAGTAATTTACCATCTGCTTCAATGCCCTATTCCTCCTCCATGCCATCTGCCTCTCTCGTCTTGTCTTTTCTTAGCATTTGTCCCCACTACCTCCTCTGCCCTCACTATCATCCATTACCATTCTCGAGCTTACAGCCCATCCATTAGAGCCCAAAATACTTTTGAGCTTGCTAAAGCTCAAGATACGTTTTTAATGGTAGAAAAGCCCAACATTCTTTGGACTTGTAATCTTTGTCATTGAATTTCTCAAAGGCTTGATATCTTTTGGACTGAAAATTCAGCCCTGTTTTGATCCAAATTCTTAAAAGAGAAAGCAAAAGCGGAACTGTACGGCCAAAGAACAGAACCGAGAGAGAGCCATTCATCTTTTAATTCTAGAGAAACAGACGGCACGTGAGTAAAGAGGCAACCCCCTCCCTTCCAGAGCTTCTCCATTCTTCACCTTCTTTTTTTTTTTTTTTTGGCTATATAGACATAGTTCGTTCTTCTTTTACATTCCAGCCTTCAAGAAGTCGGGGTTCCTCTTTTGGTTTTTTTTTCTTCTTTCTATCTCTGTTTATTTTTCCTTTCTAATTTGCCTATACAAATTCTTTAATTCATATATATTTATTGAGAGAGAGAGAAAGTAAGATTTTTTCTTTTTCGGAAGGACAAAGAAACAAGAGGGAAAATGTCAAAGAAGAAAGCTTTCAGTGGCAGCACTATGACTTTGAAAGACTTTCATGGCGGTTCAATCCCAACTGATCTCCCTCTCCCTTCTGCACCTGGCGTGTAAGTTACCCAAATTTCTGTTTCCATTTAATTTGATCCGATTTTCTCTCTTTTTCTTTCTTTTGTTTTTGATGTATATTTTTCTGGGTGTAATCCGAAACTTTAAATTTGGGTCGTTTTATATTAGATCTAAAAGCCAATGGATCTGCGAGTGAAACCCTATTTATTGATATTTTATTTTATTTTTATTGAATTTGATGGGTACAGCATTGTTAGGCCTACGGATCGTTCTGGTTTCGATAGAGCAACATCCTGGGGAAACCCGATAGGCCGGCCTGATCACCGTCCCCGACCCAACTCGTCTCCCGCAACTAGGCATTTGGATGATAAAACCCCATTTCTTACCAATTCAGTGCATATTGGTCGTAATTTTGATGAGGATGAAAGGAAGCCATTGGATGGGGTTTCTGCCCCGCGTAGAACTATTAGTGACGAGAGTTTTCGGGTTCCACCTAGTGGTGTGGAGCTGAAGCCGGAGTCTGCTTATGCGGGGAGGGTGTCGGGTCGACATGGGTCAGCTCCGGTATCTCCATTGTCGAGTGGAGCAGGGAATTCATACTCAAGTAGATTGCCCGAGGCTGCTCATGTTGGTGTGAGTTCTCAGAGTGCAGGGGGGAATCACCGGCCGGCAGCTTCTGGGTCGTACCCTAATGCATGGGCAGCTAGGAAGGAGGTGTCTATGAGTGTTGCTGAGCCTCCACAATCTGCCTGGTCTGAACAAAGTGCTGTCTCAAAGCTGGCTCATGCTAGCGCACTGGAAAAGGTTTCCTCAGGTAGATGGCAGTCTAAGCAGTCTGTTCAATACCAGAAAGATGTTGATGTTAGTAAACATTCAGAAATAGAAAATGGTTTGCAATCCCAGGGGTATGATGATAAGATGTACAGCAGAATGAATGCTATGGGTGGGAGGGAATATTCTGATGCAACATTGGCAAGGCATGTAGAAAGGGGTTTGAATATTGAAGATGGAATTCAGGGTGGTAGAAAGGACTTACCTGACTATGAAAGGAACCAGGCTCCTAATTATTTGGAAGTTAAAGAAAGGAAATCAGTAATTTATGGTGAAGGGATTCAATCAACTCGTTCAGATGGCAAATTTGTTGGTTCTGAATTGCAGTCGTCACCGTCAGTGCCATCGGAGGCATATGAGAGGCCCAAGTTGAAGTTACTTCCCCGGACTAAGCCATTGGATAATCTAGAATCACCTGTTATTGATTCTAAGCAGGTTCTATTTTGATGTTATACTCTTGAAGTTTTCGCTTTCTTTTATTTGGTTCTTCTTTAATTTTGATAATTTTCTTGAAATAGGGGCATCAGTGGCTTAATGAATCTGTTGTTACCCACGTTGAAATTGGTAATGGTTCACATGGAAATGTGAATACATCAAAACCTGGTTTAGCTGGCAGTGAGAGTGGGAACCAGACAGTGGAGCGTCCAAAGCTCAATTTAAAGCCACGTTCTCAGCCCGTTGAACAATTGGAAGGCAACGCTGAGAAGGAAAGGTCAGTATGTGCCTAGACTTTAAATTAATGCTACTTCGTATGAGTGTTTTATAGATGTATATTCCTGTTATACTAAAATCATGGTCAGAGTTTTGAAACTTGAATATTAAGTCTGCCTTATATTATCATCTTTGCTGAGAGGAAATCAATGAGGGTGAGGGACAGAAGTGTTGAGGTATGTAAGCAAAAGATATTATGCATTAGAAATTTGATGTTATCTGTGCTTTCTTGGAAACCTGGTTAATCGATACTAGTTAGGGATAAATTTTTGTGTTTAGGGAATATCTCCGGTCAATTTTATATTTTGATTTTGTGTGTGCTTTTTTGTTTACTTGGCAATTTTCTTTTGGATTCATTACGCCCTTTCCATTATGAATGCTAGTTATGTCTCTATTTCCTTACACATTTGGAAAAAAAAATTGATGAGTTTGAAGGAGGTCAAATTAGGAAAGTTATTTTGAATTTGTTACACTTTCATTGAAAGGAAAAACTTTTGACATAAGAGTGACATGAATTCTTTAATTTCACAAAATCAAAATTTAGATAATGAGTAATTTTTTAATTTAATAGCATCATACGACTAGATAGGGAACTTTGAGTTTAGCCATTAAGTCATGATTTTAGGCATTAGATTAATTGTGAGTCATTGAGTGACATTTAAGCTTCTCATGAAGCTCAATTATTTAAGACAATTTATTGAAGATAGTTAGAAGCAACTAAAGTACAATGGAAAGGTGAAAGAGTGACATCTATGATTTACAGTATAGAATGTGACAATGCAACTTAATAGCTGTTCTTTTAATTTGTTTGTCTGCTATTTGTGAGGTTGCCATGTAGAACTCATCTATCATCTCTTCGATAATAGGTTAGATCTTATGCATCTTGCTTGGCTAGAATGTGAGGTTGCATATAATGGTGCTATGATTATTTGCATGTCCTATCAACATCTACAGTAATCTTGAATGAATGAGGGTGTTTCTTTTTAGTTTATTTTCTGGACAATCATCACGTTAGGTTTATGAGTAACTACTTAGCTAAGTGTTATTGATGCAGAAATGCGTTGTTTGGTGGTGCTCGCCCACGAGAACTGGTGAGTGAATCTCTCCTCCTGCTTATTGGATTTTTTTTAATTATTTTGTTAATTTATCACTCTGTTGTTGATGTCAACATAATATTATTTATTATTATAGCTTCACACTTGTTATTATGGTCTTTTCTTGTGATAATCATAGTAACTGCTGATAGGATTTCTGGTCTGTTTCTCAGGTTCTCAAGGAGAGAGGGATTGATGATAGCAACCAAGAGCCAGGCCAACATCCTGATAGGTGTGTTTCGTACCATTCTAGAACATTTTGCTTCTTTCTTTCCTTTCTTTTTTTCTTTTTGAGGGGGGTGCGGGGGAGGGGGGGTGTTGTGTGGTTCACCAATTGCCTAAACTTATTAGTACTATGTCTCTTTATTGTCACGTGAAGGGTCAAACATAATATTCCACGGACTGAAAAAGTTGCTGATCAGGCAGCTCCTCGCCATGGTGAAAGAGTTGAGAATCCTCCTGTTGATCAAAGAGCTGGAAGAAAATCGGAGAGGAATCATCATGTCGAGAATGAAAGAGTTGATATGCAGAGGAGGAATTGGCGTAATGACAATCGGCGAAATGGCAGGGAAACAGAAAGGCAGCCGCAGCAACAGCAGCAGCAACAGAGGCAGCCTTCACCTGAGACCTGGCGTAAGCCTGCTAATCAGCCTAAACCAGTCTCTCCTGAATCTGCTGGCGTGCGCTATGGAAAAGCAGCATCAGCCGTGGAGCTTGCCCAAGCCTTTTCGAAATCATTCTCAGATCAGAAAACAGATGATCGCTATGCTGGGCAAAGGGGCCTTCCTGGCCCGAACCCAATGCCTTTTTCTCGGCTGATGGGTCCAACTCCAAGGCCCCAGATAAACGGCTACTAAAATTTTGAGAGGCGTATTGCCTTATTCGCGGTGAGAAGATTGTGTTACTGGTAATTGGATTTATGCAGTTGCTGATATAATTGTGCTGTCCTGTCTCATGAGTATCATCACAACTCATGAGTGCATGCACCTGAATTTTTTTTCTTTTTCCATTTAAAAGAATTTTTCAGGAGAACAATTGGCATAGGAAATCAATTGCTATGTCTTCTTTTTTGCGATTCTCAACTTTTACTCGTTTTAACCAAGCTGAAATGGCTTACTTCACTTCCAATAGAATAATTCAAGAAAAGTAGCAGAATACCCAAGAAAAAGGCACTCCCTCCATGTTTTGTGAAACTCCCAAAATGATATAAATTTGGACAACTACCATAAAATCTTGGTCAGCTTCTCTCTCCTTCCATCGTCAGTGGGATCCATCCAGCCTCCCACTAAGGAGATTTTTTTGTTCTCTCTCAGGCTCAATGGAAACTGGCGCCACGAGTAACGGATAAAGGCCATACTCCAACCTTGGTTTGGTCAATAAGAATAATCTGTATGTGAAAAAAAAAAAAAAAGAGAGAGAGAAAAGAAAAAGGGATTAGGCCTCGAAGAACGTGCAGCATAGAATAGGCATTGTTTTCAAGCTCGAGTTCCATGTTTTTTCCCCTTCTACATATGACTTTTGCAATTTAAGTCTTTCAGTTTTTAGTTTGATTGGAGGAAGTCTTCCCTTCTCTTTCTCGGTTTCTAACTTCCTTTTTCCCTTGTGGAGACCAAAATCTGATGTCCAATTTTCCATGTAACTATTGAAACAAAACAATGGACGTTGTCAAAACTTTTTAAACAGATGTTTAGTGGCACAAGTAATTGCATTTAAGTGGTGTGACATGGAATTGTGATGATAATAAAATGATTTGAGACATCTCAAGAATACAACATGCATATTGTTAATCATGGTTGTCGGATTTGATACCGTTTTGCAAGGTTGTCAATTCACAAAACACAAGCGTGTATTTGGTAAGGAAGCCATGGCAATAGCAACAGTCCCCTTTGGTGTTTTTTTAAAAACGCCTCGTTGCTTCTGATTCCCTCCCTGCCTTTCTCTATCTACTCTCTACTAACAAACCTTTGTCCTCTTATGCTGAATTGTCCATTGACCAACCAACAGCGCACCAGCTTCTTCATACAAACAACTTTCTACTGTTGTTTCTTTCCCTTCTCTTCTTTGCGTCACTTCCCTCCTTCCCTCCCTCCCTCCCTCCCCTCACGTCCTTTATTTTTTCCTTTTTTAACTCATCCCAAAAAGTCCATCCCCTTTGTTGAACACCGCACCTTTCTTTTTCTAAGCTCCATTAAACCCTTTTTCTCAGGTTGGGTCTTTCAGTTTTCACTTTTGGTTTATCTGTAACGATGCAAGTCTTCTGTGATCTTCAAGTGGATGTCAACGGTGAAGAGGTTTTCATGGTAGACAAGGTAGTCATGCTAACTTTTTACCATTGAATCCTTCTTGGCAGTAATTACATGCATGGTTTTGATCTTTATTATGTAAGGCCGAATCTTTTACCCCATGTCGTTTTCACTTCCGGTGGCACCTGTTTCAGCCTCTCTATGATCTTTTTCATTCAGTTGTAGTCAATGTGTGGCTACTCCATATGCTCTCTCTTTGATGTGTCTTTTCTCATTCTTCTGGTTTCCACAATCTATTCTTTTCACCAAGGATCTTGGCCCCCTCCAATATATTACAGCAGAAACAGGACCACTCTTCAATTTATTGTTGACAGCAACTTCTCACCACAATTTCCTAAGAAAAGCAAGATTCTTTCATTTTCTTCAGATAGGTTGAATTAGTAATAGTTGATTCATTTATAGCTTCTTGTTAAGTTGGTAACCGCTTGGCTTTTTGATATACAATGAAGTAAATGTCATAAACTGTTTGTTCTTTTCATTGATCCTAGTATGTGCTATAATTCCTCTTCAAATTTTTTTTTCCTTTAATGCAGAGAACTCTTGCATCTTTCTCTGGTAGATTCAGCAAATTATTTGGTAATCTGATGGACGATACCAGGAACCTGAAAGTGGTATTTCATGACTTTCCGGGAGGAGCTGAGGGTTTCGAGCTTGTGGCAAGGTTTTGCTATAACAAGGGAAGAACTGAGATAACTCCGGCCAATGTAGTCCTACTGAATTGCGCTGCGCGATTTATGGAGATGGAGAGTGATGGCCTCAGGCCTAGCTTGTTAAACCAAACAAAAAAGTCTCTAGATGGTATCAGCTTCTGGTCCTGGTCTGAGCTCCTTGTAGCTTTGAAAGAGTGTCAGGATTTACTTTCTGCCTCAAGTTCTTCAATAATACTTGATAAAGTCCTGGATTGTGTTATAGGAAGGCTCGCCTCTCCTATTGTTGCAAGCTCATACACATCTTCCTCAGAGAACTCCAGCTTCAAATGTTCCTGTGATACAAGGAGCAGCTATAGTTGGAGAAACAATTTCTCTCAAGTATCTTGGTGGTTTGAGGATCTTCTGTTTTTGAATATTGATATAATTGACAGGGTAATAAAAATGATGATACGCCAGCATTTCGATCATCCTACAATCAGTAAGTTCCTCTTCTGTTATCAAAGATCGAGATTTCTAAATGCCACCCCAACTCAGAAGTGCAAAATCACAGAGGTCATAATCAAGCTGTTTTCTTTGCTTGATAGGAGCTCCCTTTCTTGCAAGCTTTTATTCGATGTATTTCGAGTGGCTTCAAGCTTGAAAATAAGCAAATATTGCAAATCCATTTTGGAAAACCTTATTGGTTTACAATTGGATCAAGCAACTATAGATTTTCTGCTTCTCCCATCCCCACAAAGGAAAGGTTATAAGTATGATGTGAATCTGGTTCTGAGGCTGGTAAAAGCATTTTGCGATGAAGGAAGAAGTTGTTGCTTATCCCCAGTGCGATTAAGAAAGGTTACTAGCTTAGTTGACTCATACCTTGTGGAAGTGGCAGCAGATTTCCACCTGAACCCTTCAAAGTTTGCAGCACTAGTCATGCTGCTGCCAGATTCTGCAAGAGAATCCCATGATAGGCTTTTTCAAGCTATTGACATTTATCTAGAGGTATTGCTTTGAAACTTACAAAGTATTTACCCCTGTTATAAATGCAACTCTATGTTTCTAGAATTGAAGGACTGTTATAAATATTTACCCCTGTTATAAATGTTTAGGTAAAATCATTTGCATATAGAAATGGAAAGGACAACACTGGTTTGATAGCAAATCCTCTATATGCTAATTTAATCTGTTTGCTCATTAGAATGAGATCAATTATTAGTTATTAGGATCAATGCTGATCCAAACACTCAAATTGCTTGACTGATGAAAATTCTGCACAGGTTCATGGTGGTCTACATGAAGCAGAGAAGATGGGAATCTGTTGTGCACTTAACTATGCAAAGCTCTCAACAGATGCATTGAGACGCTTAGCTCGAAATTCTAAATTTCCATCAAGAATAGCAATACAAGCTTTCATCAATCAGCAGTCCAAGCTTGAAAATTTACTGGAGGGCCAAAAACTTCTTGACACCTTTAGTGGTTCTCTCTCTGCCGAGGAAAGCACCAACGAGAAAGAAAACTCTGATCAAATCCTTCTGTATGCAAAAAGGCTCAACCTTCCCAGGAAAGCTGAGCAACTTGATGTACAGCTGCAAGGAATGCAATGCAGAGTAACAGAACTGGAGAAGTTCTGTGGGATAATGCAGACTCAGATAGGAAATATACCAAGAACAAGATTATCCAGTCTTGGTAATAATGCTAGATTCTTACCAAAACTCTGTTCTTGAAAGATAGTCTTGCCTTCAAAAGTCTTTATAGTTTTTCCCCTACATTGTCTTGGAAAATATTTGTACAGTATGGACCCAAATGCATGTAAATGCAAATTGATTTTGTTTCAAGTTTTGTAAAGAATCATCAGTTGGTAAGTTGTACTTCTTTCTTGAAGAACTGTAGCAGCAATTGTAGGGAACTGGTTTGCATACTGATAGAACCATGTTAGATGGAACGCTGAGGATCTTGACTGCAACTCAACTGTGTTCTTTTTGACATGATCAAACTGAAACACAGCAAGAAGTCAAATGAAAGTTCAGAGTTCCCAACTGATGACCAAGCACGAGTTGTTGAATGTCAATGGAAAAGTACTGAAAAAGCAGTCATTGCTGAACATCTCTAAATGGTCAATCACTTTATCATGAGTTTTCCGTTCAAAGCCTACTGCATCAGGTAGAAAATTGCTGCCAGCTTGTGGCAAAGCAAAGCAGTTTTAGTTGTCCTAGCTATGAGGCTGACTTACCAAGCCCCTCAAACAAAAGTCAGAATAAAGCTGGTATGGCGGCAAGAATTACTGAACTCATCACCTCACGATCATGTCCTCGGAATAAAATGAAAACAAGTTTCGAACATAATTAGAAAAATCGAGACAATGTCTTTCTTAACACAAGAGAGAGAGAAAACTGAAGAAAGTGAATGGATGTTTCTAAGGAATATCCGTGCTGTTAGCCACTCACTGCCAGGCAGCCCGCGAACTATGCGGGGAAGAGCACGCGTGGCTGTGTTGCGGGGCTCACTAACAGTTTAGGAGCCCCAGAAACGTTTGCAAACTACATTTTTAAGGCAAAACTTGTTCATGTAAACAGCACCAGATTGCAGCAGAAGGAGATACAGCATTGCAGAGTACGGGATTTTACCCTTGAAGAGTTCCAAGTTTCAATAACATTGTTGTCTCTTTTCCTTGGGAAATGAGAATTAAATTATGAACTAATGATTAACCATGAATAAGGACATCAAGGGAAGGACAAAGTACACGGTACTCCCAAGAAAAAAAACAAAAAAAAAAGGTGCCATGTTTTCTTTGGGAAGTGCAAAGCAATTTAATGGCCATGGTTTGTTGTGAGCCATTAATGCAAGGGTTAGACCAACATCCTTGAAAGAGCCGGTGCTAACTCTTTCTTTGATGCAATTGTGAACAACTTTGATTGCAGTGATCTTTGTTTTAGTCTACCAATTTGTGGGATGCTGGGATCATTAATGAATGCAAAGTCAAGAACAAGTCTTCTTTTCAAGGCGTTAACATCTTTTCGATTTTTAAAGACTATAGTCAAAGCCTTAATACAAATAACAAAAAAATCTAGGAGGATGGCAAAAAATTAAAAAAATAAATGAAAAATTTGATATTGTGCTTATTACTCATTTTATAATTTTACTTCACGTGTTCAGTCATGTACTATAATTAATAAAATTTTAACTCATAATTCTAAATTTTAAACTATGAATCTTAAATCTTAATAGTAAAAACAAATGATTTAATAATAAAAATGATGTTAAATTAAGAAGTTTACTGAACATAGAATATAAAATTATAAAAAATGCACTGAACGGGAGTATAGGATTTTTGTTCAATTACGCTGGGTTTATGCAATGTGGGCTCATTTGGGCTAATGTAAGAGAAGTACCAAGGCTTTTGTTGGGCTTCATGAGTAGCCCATTTTGGCCTGCTTTAAGACTAATATGTCCTACCCAATTAACGTTTAAGCCCGCGTCGTTGGAACCCTTCGCGCCAAACCGAGAAACGACGCCGTTGTCGGGTCCGTCCGGAGCCGAAGTACCGTCTTCGTCGTCATCAACACTTTTTCTATACAAAAAGTCTACAGACTACAGCCTAAACAACACATCTTTTGCTTCTTCTCTCTGCAATAATCTACCCAAAGATCGAAAGCAAAGGCGAAATACAAATAAAAAGGAAAGAGGGCAAGAGAGATCAGAGGCAGATAGAAGAAAAAGTATTTCCTTTTCTTTGATTTCGATTTCTTTTTGTTTAAGGAAAGACAGGAGATATGTTGGAGAAGATCGGTTTGCCCGCAAAGCCATCGTTGAGAGGAAATAATTGGGTGGATGATGCTTCACATTGCCAAGGATGTTCTTCTCAGTTCACCTTCATCAATCGCAAGGTTTTATTATTTGATCCCTTCATCTTTGAATTGATTCTTGTCTTTTCCTCTCTCTAATCTCAAAACTTGTTATTTTAATGTCTAATTGTATGTGGGTTGGTACTAACTTACTAGAAGTTTTGGGTATCTTAGTTTGTTCTGTAATTTCTGTGATATGGAATCATTATATTGGAATTTGAGATTCTTTGTTGGTTAATGTAATGGATTCTGTATGACAGAAATTTCAAATCCTTCTTTTGAGAAGCAAGATGTATAATTTTTCCCCTTTTTTGCAATGATTGTGCTTAGTTATTGATTTCTTTTTACTCTGGATTATCAGCATCACTGCCGAAGGTGTGGGGGCCTGTTTTGCAATAGTTGCACACAGCAAAGAATGGTCTTGCGTGGACAGGGTGATTCTCCTGTGCGTATTTGTGAACCTTGTAAAAAGCTAGAAGAGGCTGCGCGTTTTGAGTTGCGACATGGATACAAAAGTAGAGCTGGTAGAGGTATCGTTTTGTTACTTGGTTATTACCTGAAGTAGATTCATTTTTTGCTGTAGAGTGTATTTAGTCACTGACAATATTGTCTGTCTTGGTTTTCATTTTGTATACATGGCTTGGTATTAGAAAGCTGAGTACAGTTTTATTAAGTTTCTTTCCTTTTGAAACTAATTTATGATCACATTAAACTAAAATTTACTGATATAGGTTTTGTAGATGGTTCACCTGCTTGTTTGCTCATGTATTTCAACTATCATTATGGAACCCCAGAGCATTGACTTTCAATAATTAAATGTCTTAGCCATTGTTTGCAGGTAGTTTGAAACCGGCTGCAAAAGATGAGGATGACATTTTGAACCAGATTCTAGGTGCTGACAGAAAGGAATCCTCTACGTCAGGAGTAGCTTCCAACAAGGACATGAACCCTAGTGTTCGAAGGGCAGCTAGCAGTTCTTCATATTCAAATGTTCAAGTGGCTCTCAGTCATGATGGGGAAGGAGAAATATGTCGAAGTCAGTCTGTTGATCGGCCTATGCAGAACGATATGGCATCGTCCAGTCCCGAGGAATTGCGCCAGCAAGCATTGGATGAAAAAAGGAAGTATAAAATTCTAAAAGGAGAAGGGAAATCTGAGGAAGCTCTAAGAGCCTTTAAGAGAGGGAAGGAGCTTGAGAGGCAGGCTGAGTCTTTGGAGATATATATAAGAAAAAACCGTAAAAAAGGTTTGCCATCTGGCAACATGTCCGAGATCCAGAATAAAGATGCCCCTAAAGAATCTGGCAGAAAAAATAAGGTCCCTCATCAAGTGGGTAGGGATAAGGATGACCTGGCTGCTGAACTCAGGGAATTGGGGTGGTCTGATATGGATCTACATGACAATGATAAAAAATCCGCAAATATGAGTTTGGAGGGTGAGCTCTCTTCTCTTCTTGGAGAAATTCCTAAGAAGACTAATGCTCATGGCACTGATAAAACCCAGGTTGTTGCCATTAAGAAAAAGGCTCTTATGTTGAAACGTGAAGGGAAGCTTGCAGAAGCAAAGGAAGAACTTAAGAGAGCTAAAGTCTTAGAGAAGCAACTCGAAGAACAAGAAGTCTTGGCTGGAGCTGAAGATTCTGATGATGAGCTATCTGCAATAATCCGTAGTATGGACGATGATAAACAAGATGAAATGTTAATTCAGTATGAGGATACTCACGACTTGGACTTTGATCACCTTGTGGGAACTGCTGATGATCTTGGTATTGATAGTAATTTTGAAGTAACTGATAAGGATATGGAGGATCCAGAAATAGCTGCTTCTCTGAAATCACTAGGTTGGACCGAGGATTCTAACCCCACAGAAGGTCTTGTGGCTCAGACTGCTCCTGTTAATAGGGAGGCACTAGCTAGTAAAATTCTTTCATTAAAAAGAGAAGCTCTTAGTCAAAAGCGGGCAGGTAATGTTGCGGAGGCAATGGCTCAGTTGAAGAAGGCAAAGCTACTTGAGAAGGACCTTGAAAGCTTCGATTGTCAAGCGGAGAACTTGACAGTGAAAACAAATGACCCAACTCCTCACACTTCTGACATATCAGTGAAGTTGGTTAAGTTGGGTGATGAAAATATTAATGTTATTAAAGATGTGGATGTGAAACCTGCACCAAAGAGTAGATTGATGATTCAGAAAGAGCTTCTGGGGTTGAAGAAGAAAGCCCTTGCTTTGAGAAGGGAAGGAAGATTGGATGAAGCAGAGGAAGAATTGAAGAAAGGCAAGATTCTTGAGTGCCAGCTTGAAGAAATGGAGAATACTTCAAACATGAAGGCTGCACAGGTACCTATTGGCGGTAAGGGTAAGGGTTTGACAATTGAGCATCCTTATGTACCAGAAAATCTGCCGGTTGAAGGAGGAGATGTTACAGATCAAGACATGCATGACCCGACATACCTTTCAATCCTAAGGAACTTAGGTTGGAATGACGATGATGAGCATTCAAACTCTTTGCTGAAACATTCTAAGCAAAAAGATTCTGAGAAAATTATTGAATCTTCTTTGACTTCTGCCCCTCCTAAAATCCCAGCTAAGGCGTCAAGAAGAACTAAAGCTGAAATACAGAGGGAGTTACTAGGCTTGAAAAGGAAAGCTCTTTCTCTGAGGCGCCAAGGAAATATTGATGAGGCAGAGGAAGTGCTGGAAACAGCAAAAACATTGGAGGCTGAGATAGCAGAGATGGAGGCACCAAAGAAAGTGGTGGAATCGAACTGGCCAAACGAAAAAGCCATTTTACCTCCCCTTAATGGTGCTGCACAAGAAGCAGATGATGAGAATGTTACAGAGGAGGATATGAATGATCCAGCTCTGCTCTCAGTGCTAAAGAATTTGGGTTGGAAGGATGAAGAGCTTGAACATGTAACAATGCAAGAAAAGTACTCAAAAAGTGGACGTGCGTCTTTACATTCTGGCCATCCATCTCTCACTCAACCCTCTTCAGGCATTTCAGTTTCACTGCCAAGAAGTCAAGGGGAAATCCAAAGAGAACTTCTGGGTTTGAAAAGAAAGGCTCTTGCCCTTAGACGAAATGGGCAAGCTGAAGAGGCTGAGGAGTTGTTGCAAAGGGCAAAGGTACTGGAAGCCGAAATGGCAGGATTGGAAGTTCCAAAAGGTGAGATTGTGCTTGATTCATCCAAGGACAGCACATCTGGGAACTTTGAATCATTTACTAATCAGGGAAGGCAAGGGAATTTAAAAAATGAAATGACAATAAAGGAAGGGCCAGTTGCAGTGGCGGTGGGTCCAAGTGAAACAGTCGTAGGATCATCAATGGGTTTAGGAAGAATGGAGAGCGATACAGGTAATCCTACCTTGAGGAATTCCGAGCTGTTATTTCCTGCAGCCACCAGGCCACTAGAAGACAAGAAATCCTCATTTGAAAAATCAGATCCCTCAGGTGCAATGGGACTTCTAGGTGGTAAGGGAAAAGTTGAAACTGCTAGTTTTGTCCCTCCACCAGACCAGTCTGCAAAAATAGTGGATTTGTTGACTGGCGATGACCTAATTAGTTCTCAGATACCAGCCGAGAAATTGAAAGAGAAAAGCGAGTTTGGTTCCAACTTCTCTTCTCTTGCTAGACCGAATGTTCAGTTGGCTTCCCAAGAAGATCTTAGAACCAAGGATGAAGATACCACTGGAAAAAGCAGAACGGTTAATGGAGAGCTGAAGTCACATGCGTTTGATGTGAGTCCAGTTCAGGGATTTATTTCTCATAACAGCCAAGATTCACTTAAGCAAGCAGTTTGGTCTCACAAGAAGAAGGCACTTGCTTTGAAGAGAGATGGAAAATTGGCAGAAGCTTGGGAAGAGCTTCGGCAGGCAAAGCTGTTGGAGAAGAGTCTGGCAGAAGATAGCGCTCCACCAAAAGGTGGTGCAAGTGGTGCATCAACATCTTCATCCACTGTTCCCTCTGATGCACAAAAGGAGCAGGGTGCATCAAGTTTAGCTCCAAAACCACTGTCGGGGCGTGATCGCTTTAAGTTGCAGCAGGAATCCCTCAGTCATAAGCGCCAGGCTTTGAAGCTGCGAAGAGAAGGTCGGATGCAAGAAGCAGAAGCTGAGTTTGAATTGGCCAAGTCTCTTGAAGCCCAGTTGGAAGAGTTGGCTGGTCATGATTCAACTAAGACTTCTACCATGGGGACAGAACCAGTAGATGTAGTTGTTGAAGATCTTCTCGATCCTCAACTTTTGTCTGCCCTGAAAGCAATTGGTTTGGATGATTTCAGCGTTGTCGCTCGAGGCCCAGAAAGACCAGATCCCGTAAAACCCAATGGTTCCAAAAGTGAAAATGTTGACCAAGAGAGAATCCAATTGGAAGAGCGGATCAAGGCAGAAAAGGTGAAGGCAGTAAACTTGAAAAGGTCGGGCAAACAAGCTGAGGCTTTGGATGCTCTTCGGAGGGCCAAAATGCTAGAGAAAAGGCTCAATTCCTTGTCTTCATAATAATAAATTACATAATATCCCATTTTAAGCTTGGAAAATCTTCAGTGGCTGGATTGAGGTACATAATATTTGAGGGCACCATGTAAAATAACTTAAAGCAAAATAGTTGGAGGATTCATTTCATCTCAAGCATGTATGCTCAGTTCTCCGTCACATATTCTTAGACGGAAAATGTATCTTCATTTATATGTTTCATACCATTTTGTTACAAAAATAACCAATATGTTGATTTATAAATGGTTCTGTTCATTTGTCTCTGTTTCTGTCGAATTTATTCTTGTTATCTCTGTATTCATGAACAGAGATGTAAGGTTTAAAATCTCCAGCAATGCATCAATTATAAAGAAGGATCAGAAGGAATGAATTCTTTTAACTCGACCAATTTGCCCCTGTACGATGATTTTGGTATTAAACGGGCTGAAACTGCTGTGAACCCTGCTTAAGGTAGAAGAAAATCTATACATTTCTGCTATTGTTTCTTACTACGAGAGCCAGGGGACATGTTTGTATCGAACAACTTTCTTTAGAAAACCAGAAGCCTATGCATGAGTCGCCTATGACCCACACCTATATTCTTCTTCACCGCTGCAGCCACATTGAGAGAAGGCAGGTTTTTCTCCCTATAAAGGGATGGGATCAAAAAGCAATGACATTGCATGAACTTTAGTCTTGTGGTTTTGATAACCATGTCCATCTCCATGTTGATAAATACAATGGGCCGTCCTCACAAGATTCAGTATGATTCCAGTGACATTCTGGGATAAGGGAGACACAGCAGCTTGGTGCACGTCTACCATTTTCCATGACTCTCTCATTACATTCCTAATGTGTTCACGGGCAGCTTCCTTGGAGACGCCATTTTCATGCATGTAACATTGGATTGATTTTGCAACATCTCCTCTCTTTAACTCGTCTTGAGTAACAAGTGAACAAGTTGAGCTGTGCATGGTAATCAATCAAAGTTCATCTAATAAAGCTCTTAAAAATTGGTAGCTTTCATACCGATGAAGTTCCTAAATCATCCTGAAGTTGAAAAATCACAGATGACCATTGTAATATATCCGGGTAGCTTTCTAGGAATTCTAATTCCTTCTCGTTTATCTGATTTGTTACAAATAGACTTGCTTGAATTGCTATTAGAAGGCCTGTTATTGATATCCAGGAGTTCTTCATGTACTCTTCCAAAGTTGGTGTATATCCACTGTGGTACCATCTTGCCTCCAACAAGTAGGATCCTAGTAAATCCACCCACTGACGCCATAAGCAGGTCAGAAGAGTTGGTATGGAAATTTGTTGTATTTGAAAACAAATAGAATCACAATGTCTTGAATCTGAATCACAGATGAAATCAGCTGACATTTATCAGAAAGCAGGTACATACCTCCCTTTAAGGATTCAACACAACATCATAGCCATGCTTCTTGAGAATGTCGTAAGCCATCTCATTAACTGAGTTGTAAATGGCAAGGAAGCATATCTTCATGCAGTCCGGGCGTTGTTTCATTGCCTGAGTATCCCACCAGAGACATGTAGAAAAGAGTAGAAGTCAATTAGTCCTCCCTTGGAAAGTAATGAAGCAATAGATCAGATGCCAGAACATTTTCCCACCAACCTCTCAACGGCATCAGTGAAGAGCTCAAGTTCATCCAAGGTACCATAGACGTCATAACTATCATCCATCACTGTGATTAGTGCAATGGCCTTTGTAAGAATTTTCCTGCAGCTTCCAAACTGAAGTTTGAAAGCAATTCCCACTGTCCATAAGAAGGATTCTACCAACCTATTCCTAGCAAAGCTCAATTTCTCTCCTAGACCAGTATTTTTCCACCACCTTTGCAGGCAAATTGATGGACATCAAAACCAATTACACGTTTTATTATGTGGATCTAGATTCACCTTATGTTAAGTTGAGTGCCTTAGATTTTGCAGGAAAAAAAATATATATGTTAAGTCCATCTTTATACCTGGACATATCTTTGAGTTCTTCCAGGTATATTCCTTGTAAAATGTTGAAGTCCAATTTGCAAGCTGTAATACAACGGGATTCAAGTCTTCTATTCTTTCACATACATCAATGAACCACCTTGCTTTTAGCCTTGGCATCCTCCAGTGTAGCGGAAGCTGTAGGGCATGCCTGACTTGGATGGCAAGATTAGGATCCGCATCACCATTGACATATCTGAGATGTTCAGACGTGATATTCCAAGCTGCCTCCATGATGCTCTCTCCTTCAAAACAGTAGTATGAAGCTTCATACAAGCTCAGCATTGCTTTGATATCATCTTTTAGAGGGAGCCTGAAATTGCCTGTCTCATCCCTAAAACTGACAAAAACATCTGCATTCGAGCAGAACCAGTTATTACACACTCCACACATGAATACTATATATTTTTCTTTATAGGAGGTTCTGGCCTTGTATGTGCTCACGGATATGCATTACAAGATAAGTTAACAAAACATCTCATACCTGTAGAAGAATGGTGTCCATTTTCCCTGACGAGCCTAAATTCCAAAGCAGTTGCATATAAGTTGTCTTTGTCCCTCTGATCGTTGCTGTTGTTCTTGTAGATGTTCCCAAGTATGTCGTTAATCTCATCCTCAAAATGATTTGTCACTCCAAACCTCTGCAAGTTGTCTATCAGCTCTAGTTGATCCAATAGCTCTTCTGCATTGTTTAGCATCATCCTCACTTTTCCTTTCAGCTCTTCAATTTGACTCACATAGTCATCTCCTTGCAATTGAAGTTCTTAATCACAGACAAATTTTATGAAGGCTATATATTAACCAAAAAAATGATGACCATGATAACTACCTTATACTTGCTTCTCAGCAACTGCAAAAAATCATCATTCCAAAGGCAAGGCAGGTAGTTTCCTGACCGCCTATTGGCTGCTGAACTCGACAGTTTGAAGCTGGCAACAAATGTGATAGGCCCCTGAACAGTGACATTCTTTCTACCTCTCAGTGACACCACACCAGTGATGCAACTTGACACTTTGTACTTGAGAAAAATGGAGCTGACGCAAGAAGGGAGGACGCCGTTGAATGAAAACTCCTACCTATGGTGACTTAATTAGCACGAAAATACTAGTATATCAATGTTGTTGATTAAGAAAGTACTGCTGAACAGTAATATATATAGAGGACTCTGGGCTGCAAGAAGATTCCAGAATTAGGAATAATATTATAAGACTAACAAGGTCTCTCAGATGTGCCGAGGGCATCTTTTTACTCAAAGCTATGAAACTTATTTGGTCCTTGTGAGTAGATATAGACACGCAATGGTCTGAGTCCAAGTACCATTATCTTAACAATTTGAAAATAATATAAAAATCTGACACATATTTTGATACTGATTGTGACGAATCAGTCCTCAGATTATTGGATTTAGTCTAAATAAGGAGAGAAGCCATACTTGCTATGCTAGGTACATCAGAATGAGGTCTGGTCCTTGCCATTTTCGGAAACTTCAACGATCATCGTTTGGTGTCCTTTTCGTGGCATCTCACTCTCACGTAGTCTCTTTGCTTGGAAACATGGTTAATATTTGTTAATTAGTTAGCTTCTTGTTATTGGAAAGTGAGTCTCCTTACAGCATGAAACCCAAAACGAATATTGCAAGAAAATTTGTGCCAAATTAAGATCCCAAGTCAGTGCGAGTGCATGAATCAGTTTCACTGATTATCTGAAGACGACCCTGTCGTGCAAATTTCTGGGAACCCCAACCACCCTTTTCACATTCCATAACAATAATTAATAATTTCGTATTAATTTTATATAATTTACATAATAACAATTTTAATCATTTAATAACTATCCATCAAAATTTGTGTATAAAATATTATTTTTTATTTAGATGCTCATTCCTTATGGATGGATCTTCTTATATAATCTTATCAGTTAATTATATTTACTTTTTGTATAATTCCTTTTTTTTTAATTCTTGAACAAGAAAAATTAATTATTAGATTTTTTTTAGATGGATTTTAAAATTATTTTGATCGTCGAGAATAATTATATTTTTATCAATTTCAATGAAATTCTGTGATTTATTTTTTGTATTTTTTCAATACTTGTGAATAGTAAACCATAAGAAATTAAAGGGATCCGCCTTTCCTTTACCATACAAAATTTCCTCCTTTCATCTTGATAGAACAAATAGGAGAAAAGGTCCCAGCTATCTCCAAATCGATCAATTTATTTGTATAAAAACAAGTACCCCACGTAGAAATTTATGTGCTACATAGGAATTTATATATATATATATATATGTAGTGTGATATAATTAGTGTTAATTTAACTAGTTTAAAATAAAAAAAAACTCTAAAATCAAAATATTTTGAAATACTAATATTTTATCCTTAAATTATGCCAACAATAAAGTATTTAAATATAAAAATTAGAAGCAAAAAATTTAAAAGTATGACTATATTATAATTTTCACATAGAAGACATTAATTATAATCGTTTCCCATTTATCATTTCTTGCTAAGTGAAAGATAAAAGTTCTAAAATCAAAATGATGTTTGAAAATATTTTATTTACACAAGATAAAATAAATCCAAAAAAAATAAAAAACTCAAATCCTTGAATCATTCAATTCAATTCAAGATCGTAATATCTGAACTGTATACTTTCACTCTAATACAAGGTTGGAATCACATGTAAATTAAAAATGATAAAATATGGAATAAATAATTGAAACTCGTCAACGGTCAAAACTGGAAACAATCCAAATTCAAACCGCCCAGACCCACCCGTGTACCATCTCTAGTCTCACTGCAAAGAAAAATGGAAACCAAGGAGACGGAACAATTGTACGGCCACGTTTTTGTAACATTGCATATGGACATAACCAACCTTGTCACGGCCCATATTTAGGTTACAACAAACGTCACATACCTAAGATATAACCTTACAGGGTTCAAAACAGATTTCTTAACCAACTAATTAAAAGAGTCAAATATATTTATGAAACATAATAATTCTCAACGTTAAGATACTGAGATAAAATCTCGAATAAATAATTTATAGTAGTTAAAAATTCATAACATTTAAATAATCTTAAAATAAACTAACACTATATGTTAGTTTACAAAACATCACTCCTTCAAGTTTTTCGCGTGTTTGATCAAATCATAACTTGAAAAAAAAAGTGAAGAAAGGAGTGAGTCCAACGGCTCAGCAAGTGATTAACATCCCTTCAATCGGATTAAGTATGCACAAAACATTAAGCTAAAAATTTTTATTCCCATATAAATATCAAAAATAGAATTTGAGTAATCTGATTCAAATAATAGGACTATCTTAATTCTAAAATTTTTAAATAACGGATAAAATATGATTTCACAATTATTACAGATTTTAATGGTCTCCCGTTACATACTATAGCCATATTTAATCCCTATGGCATAGGTTATAATCATAACAGAAACCACAATTAACCTTAGTGACATAGGCAATAAAAATCACAATTAACCCTAGTGATATGGGTCATAAGTAAATCAGAAGCAATCATTGATTGCTCTGAACAGATATCATAAGTATCACTACTTACAAGTACCACTACTTTGTAACCGGTAATGCCGTTGGGAGATCGATATCTAATCACATAATATAAGTCGACATGGCCAATGTTTAACCTCTATTGGCAGGATCATATCATAACCATACTAGGATACAAAATAAAATATATTTTTTGATTACTCAAATTCATAAAATGGTAATATTTATTTTCTCAAAACATATCTCATACATATCAAAAACATAATCGTTTCAAACTAAATATTTACAAAGATAGTCATATATGCATATATTGATAAAAATCACATTCCAGAACAAAATCGAAATCATATTCTAAAAATCAGTATAGTTATCATATTTACTTACATATATTAGCATGCTCATCCCGATTTAACAAATCATAGGACAAAATATTATATACAAGTACGAAAATCATATTGAGATAATTTTTAGGGTGTGAAAACACCAAAAGAAAATCCATCACTTACCTGACTTTGTCAATTTCACTTTCAAGCACCAAATCATAAAATCTTCCTAATTGCAAAATATTTCAAGAATTATATATACAAATATCAGAACTAAATTTGCAAACGAATCGTACAAGGTGACTTCCATTGATCATCCTTAGCACTTAAGGTGTATAGCAACCTATTTTGCAATTTAAAAATATTTTCAATTAAATAGGTAATATATTATTATTATTATTATTATTATTATTATTTTATGAGTTAATAAAAATCAAATAAAATTGAAAATTAAACTTAAATCATAAAATTAGTAAAGATTTTAATTTCTGATAGAAAGATAACACTAATTTCATTCATAAAAATCATATTTATAATTTTTCATTAATTTTTGATATTTTAATAAAATCTACTAATTTAAGAAATAAATTTATAAAATATAAAGATATATACTTTTAGATATAAAAATATAGTAGAAATCACATATCCAATATTTATGAAATTTACAACAGAATTTATCACATACTAATTAAAATCAAACTTTTAAAAAAATTAAATTTTTTTTCTATTTTATGAAATTTTCAGAATCTAGATAACTATTTGTCTTGCTTTTAATTTAAGCTCTTATAACTCTTAACCCGAATTATTCTTAGTGATAAAATCAACACCAATTTGAAGTATTTATATCATACTACAACATCAAAATTTGTTTCGATTAAAAAGAATACAAAATTTCCAAGTTTTGAAAGCTAAAATTCTAGAAATCATCACAAAAATATCTAGATTTTTGAGTTTTCAATATCAACAAACCTATTTTGAGGCTTTAATTCTCTTAACACAAGAAGCCCTTAATCGAGCCATTGATGCCAAATTAAACATCTCATTTTATACTACAAAAATCCTAAAAAAAGACAAAATGTTACTGAAATATGAAGTTCCGACGACTCAAATTTAGGTTGTCAAAACTGTTAAAAATCATGTTCCCAATTAACTTTAAAAACTTATATCTTCCAAACCACAAAATTAAAAAATTATTAGAAAGATCTTTTCAAAACTTTTCCATTAATACCCATCATGCCATCGGAAAGTAACTGGAACAATACCATATTTGAATAAAAGTTAAGAAAACACAAATAATTTAAGGTTTTTTAGGTCAAAACCCTGAAAATACAATCCTAAACATATTTTAATTAGTAATTCTTTGAATACTTTTTTTTTCTGTCTTCATCTTCTTTAATGTTAAGCTTTTATAACTGCTTTAAATATGATGAATAAACTAACGTGAATTTTTTATTTTTATTTTTATTTTTAAAAGTGTTGAGATAAAATTGATTATTTTTATTTTAAAATATGATAAGATTAATTGATTATTTTTTTAAAAAATTTGATAAGATACGATTGATTTTTTTTTTAAAGTGATAACCTAATATGATATTAATTAAAATATATTTATTCTATTGTCAAAAAAAAATTATTTTTTATTTTTGTTATGAGGGGTATTACAAACCTTACGTCATATATGTGATGACATGACTGGTCGAGCCTCAACCACCAAAGCTTCGTCTCCTGTCCCACTCTCTCTCCCGTGAAGAATCTCACCCTCTACAAGCAAAACTACATCAACCTCTGGACTCACGTCATCAGGTAGTCTTCCATACAAAACAAATATCTTCAATTATTGATTCAATTATATGGGCATAGTGCATGTGTCACGGGCCACAGTCCAGACCCACCAGGAGGCCCAAGAGGTGACAC